TTACCAACAAATTATATTATAGTATATTGTTGACTTTAGGTTGACAATAATGATCAGCGGTTGGCAGACCGTGTCCACTGTTAATAAATATATCTATTAGATTGAACGGTCTCATAATATTGGTCGATTATCTGGATGATAACACTGCAACTCGTGTAGGAAGTAGTGCAGTTCATTTCTGAAAAACTGTTACTGAATCTTCTTATATTTTTGATTTCTAATGTATAATTCAAGTGCCTAAAAAAAAGTCATATTGTAAATTTTTTTTAGAGCATATTATATTTTTAAGTGCATATTTCAATATTTATTGTTTTTTTAGTGCGATAAATGGTATGTATATTTTCATGCTACTGAGGACTAAAATAAAGTACTCATAAGCTACAAATAAAAATGATACATGTATTTCAGACAAAAATGGGAAATTTTACGCAAAACAAATTTGTCACAAAATCGATTTTATTTGTTTACTGTAATTCAAAAATGACCTTAGACACTTGAAATTTTCACCAAAATAAATGTTTGTATTCGCATTTTTGATACATGATAATATTTTCAAAATATGTTTACTCTTTTCGAACTATTTACCTATTTATAGCAATGAAAACTATTAGAATTTTATACATTTTCTTAAAAAAATAAATATTAAAATAAATCTTGAAAAATTAATGCAAGGTTCCTCGTAAGTTTTTTTGACATCAGTTCAAAAATATTAAGATACATAAACATCATTATTTTTATATGCATTTAAAGTTCAAAATTTGACAAAATTCAATAAAGTCCTGGAAATATGCAAATTATTCTTCAGTTAGGAATTCATAAACATTTTTATCATAGCTAACATCTAAAAATGAAATATAACACTCTTCATAGGTTTTACAACCTTCAATAAAAAAAAAAGTTAACCGGAATGTAAAGGGAAGTTTATATCAATAAGATTATTTTTATTATTTTATTATTAAATTTGAATTTTATACAAATATACTAGGATGACACATCGACACCGTCTCCGCTCAAAATTGTTTTTCGAATACAATGATTTATTATTGAGTTCAAAACTAACACATCCTGACATCCATTACAATGACACACTTGAAAACTATTGTACACTATAGCGGTACCCACTAGTCCACCTTTTTTCTTAATTTTTGTTAAAATTGCTTACTTGAATCCTTTAGGAGGATTGCAAACGCTAATACGCAATTAGTTTTTCATCAAAACAACATTTTAGTGACTGAACAAAAATTAAGGTACATCCAGTGGTTCGATTTAAAAAAGTTAAAATGTTTGAATTGGTAAACAAGTCTACTTTGTATCCATCGGAGCATATATTTTATATTTTTTTATATCTTTTAATATATTCAATATTAAAAACTGAAAAACTGCTCCTACTGATGCAAAGTAAACTTGTGTAATAATTCAATTGTATTTACATTTTTTTGAATCGAACGACTAGAAGTACCTTAATTTTTGTCATTCGTACAGCTATCTCAAGTCCATAAATTGGTTTTGAACATTTTTATCTAAATCAAATGCCATGTGCATGACGTGGTGCGTAACAGAGTAACTCTATGGGGTGATTGGACGAGAGGATACACATACTTATAATCATTTACTACTCACACAAAGACGAGCAGTGACAGCAAGGAACAAAATAATCGCCTATACCGAACCCCCTTAAAAATTGTTTGTTTGCAATCCTCTTAAAAGTTGAATATATAATGTTGTTTAGTATCATCAGGAATGCAGTATTGCAGTGTTCCGTAAGTTCCTTGTGAAAAAGAATTCGTTCCGTTCCTTGTTTCTTCAAAAAAAAAAAGGGATCCTTTCCTTTGTTGTTCTTTTGGAAAATGAAAGAGTTCCTTTTTTAGTCCCAAATTAAGGGGATCGGTGGTGGACAGTTATTTTAGCCAAAACATACCAATCTTTTGTCCATCATACTTATCGACCTAGTAATACGATGATACTTTTTAGAACTGATTTAAATTTGTGATTATGTCATGTACTTGAGATCGGTCAGTTTACTTTTCTCAATTTAACCCTCCCCCCCCGACAACCATAAATTTAGTTTGCATATTTTGGAATTTTTAAAAGTTGTTTGTTCGGAATTTAATTCAGAAATCTTAAAATGTGGACTGGCCGATCTCAAGTAGACATTATAACGAATTCAGATCTCTTTGCTAAAATATTATAGCATTATTAGGTCGATCGGTAAGATGGACAGAAAGTGTATACAAATGAGCAGAAATTGTTTACCGGTCATGAGTGCAACGTCGAGTATTAGATGATTTGTACATGCGCCTGCGGAACGCTCCGCTATTTCATTTACATACTAATCATCAGGGGCGTATTTAAGGGGGGGCATGGGGCCCGTGCCCCTCCCTATCACCGTATTATATACTTTTTTTTATTATTGACTATTAATTGAGAGTATTAGACTCTTTACGCTTACTTAATTTTCACATATGGGCGTATGGTGTTATACTGTTATATCATGATGACATGATATCACTGATTTATAATATTTTTGTTATAACTTATAATCGAGAAATCAGTGTTGCAGTGTTATCAGTTTATAGTGTTTTCGTTTCATGTACGGAACGTAAAACGTTATTGTTGTATTATTGTAATAAGATGGAAAAGATATAATAATATATATATATGGAAAGAAAAACCAGAAGATGAGCTTCCATCTACTGCATTGGAAACAATATTTTTACCTCTCATGGATTTTTATCCAAACATCAAAAGACTTTTATTAATATTTGCAACTATTCCTGTGACGACATGCACATCCGAAAGTTCATTTTCTTCCCTTAAGAGAATCAAAACCTACTTAAGATCAACTATGGGAGAAAATCGATTGAATGGATTAGCATTGCTTAATATACATCCAGAAATAATTATAAACCCTGGAGAATTAGTTGATATATATGCTAACAAACACCCTAGACGCCTTCAGTATTATTATAACTACACAAATTACTTTAAATAATATTGCTTTTATATGTTTAATTATACATTTTTCTAACAAAATTTTATGTTTATATCAAACAAGTGCATTTTGATTATTTTGTTATGAGTGATGAAAAATATGAGATATTTTATAACTCTACTTCCCATGTACGCTAATTTGAACTTTTTGTTTGTGCCGCCTCCCCCCCCCTCCCCATAGGACATTTCTAAATACGCCCCTGCTAATCATCACTTACTATGCACACATTTACAAGACCCGCATATAAGGAATTTGAAAATTGCCTATTTCGAACTCCTTAAAAACTGTCTACCACCTATCCCTTTAAATAAACATTTTTATGTATATACTTAGGTAGTTAACTTTTTAATCATACTTATACATAACAACAAGTACATTTATAATTTACTATCTAATTTAAGAGTATATACTATTGAATATATTTTTTTCTTTTATTAATTTATATCGATTATTTTTTAAACAATATAAATTAATATTATACCTACTACCTATACGATTAACTTCGATACTCGACAACAACCACTAATTGGCAATAAACACACTAAGAAAAAAAATGTTTTGATTTAAATTATTTACATATCTGCGTAAATTGGAACTCTAAAGGAACTAAAAATTTCGTTAGGATTTTTTTTTAAATGGGATTTGTTCAATGTGTCATTTCTAAAAACGGAACTTGTTTCTTCCAAGCACTGAGTATCATAAGTGCAACTTAGTACCATCCTCTAAATAAATTGTTCAATTGTTTTCCAAAATATAAACCTTTTGAAATTCTGTAATTCATACTTTTTTTTTAAAGCGTCGGGAAAATCAAAAAAAACTTAATTAATGGACATTTTTACTCGTTTAATTTTTTTGGTGTGACTTAAAAACGTATTAGCTCTGATGCTTGAAATTTTCACAAAAAAATATTTTTATTAGCATTTTTTATTTATTTTCATTTATTATCCATCTTATTTTATATGAGTGTATAAATTAAAAATGTTTACGATACCTATTTGACCTAACGGTATTGAAGTATTAAATTCAATTATTCATACAAGTATGTTAGGATGACACATAGTCGCTGTTCACCGATCAGAACTGTTTTTTGTAAGCAATGATTTATCTTTGAATTCAAATCTAACACATTCATTACATTGACATACTCGACAACTATTGTACAGCACTGTACAGCTTGTTTTGTATTTTTAAGTGAATATATATGGGAGTGTGGGGGATTACTCTTTATTTATTATCAGGTTTGGGTTACATCCCCCCCTCTCAATATTTCAGCCATAGTTGTGCCACTGTATAGTACGCCGTTATATTAGAGTTTAAAATTAGATTGTTGTGCGTTATTATTAAAATATCAGACTATTGGAGAGAATTATTACTGACCGTGTCTGTAATAAAAAAATTAAAATACCTATATTTTTGCAAGGACTTTAATCATTTTGTCCTTTAGTTAGATTTTACTGTACTTAACTATCTGCAATAAATCTTAATTCAATTTAGTAAAATAAGTATTCATTAATGAAGTTGCCAGTAACCTTATTTTATTACGAAATGTAGATTTTCATTGATGCTTCAAAGTGATTTTGTTTCAGAATTGTTAAAATCATTTTCCAACTCTTCAAATAATCAAACACATTTAATAAGGGTATACCTGTCCTTTGTAACACGAAACATGAACATTTTAAAAATGTTTTTACTCAAATAATATTTTATTTTATCTTCTTACTCTTTCTTCTATACAAAGTTAATACTAAACAATTTGCATACTATACATATATTTTTTTTTGAGATAGGTAAGTAGGTAATTATTTATTTAAAAACAGTAAAATATAACAATACAAAAATATGAACTTATATTTAAGAAAAGTTTATTGTTAATATATACCAAAAATATTTAGTAAATTTAAGTATTATTTTTTCAATAGCTTTTGTACCTAAAATAAAAAAATATTTTCTGAATTTTAATTTAATATAAAACATTTTGAACACTTGTGATTATAATTAACAACATTTGTTTTATATAAACATAAATATCAATATATTACGTACTCAATTGTTGGGGTTTTACAGTCTTTTTTTTTCTTAGTAAGTATATAGTATTATCTTTAAAATAATCTTCTATTTCGAATAGTTTCATTTTATGTGTCTCAGGAATAAACAACCACACAAAAAACACAGTTAGTATTGATATGAAACTATAGAACCACAAAATCCCTAGCATACCGTCCAATAAGTTTTTAAGATCTTCGTAAAAATGTACTGCGACGAACATGACTGCATTACACCATGCCATAATTGGTCCAATAAATAATCCTTTAACTTCTGTAGGAAACATTTCGCTGGGCAATATCCACGGAATCAGCATTATACCAACAGAGCCAGCCGAAATATATAGTAACATGCACAATAATGACGTCCATGTCATAATAATACTTTCATCGCCTATCAAAACAAATGAATATATTTAAACTAAAAATAAATAGGTATAGTTAACATAAATAATTATTAAGAAGTATGGGGATCCTCAAGTAATGGTAGCACTATTAGCACTCCAGTAGTAAACATTTTAAATAGTGAAACTGGATATCCAGCTACTGCACTCAGCTATCAACATATAATTTCATAATTTTATTGTTTTTTTCAAATTATGATACTGAATTAGTGAAATAAATCTTAAATTATTCAAGTTTTATTATTTAGTAGCTATTTATTTACAACTTTCTTAGTTAGTTATACTCAAAAGTATGTTTGAATTTCCAGCTATTAACAGCTGTACATTAACTCAACACCTTAGTCCTTAGTTATGCCCCAATTTCATAGTAAATTACAAATTTCCTGTTATTTTCAAATCATATTGCTCAAATACCTAACATACAGATTAACTATTAAGGATATAATATTCAGTTTAATAAAAAAATTTAATTGAATAAAATGTGCTTATTAGACATAACTAAATATAAAATTATTACCTTTAGTTCTTAAATAAAAACATAATCCAGAAATAAACAAAGTAATTCCCATGATGATGCCACTTATCATACACAGCGGACGTCTGCCGTAATTATGTAACATTCCTGTTGCCACAAAACTTAATAAGAACCGAAACAAACCAAATAGTAAAGTGGCAAATTTGATGTCGATACCTTGAGCAACTTCCTTTAATATTAAATTGTATACAATGAATTATTAAAAAAAGTGTATCAACAACATTTAGTTATAATTTAATTACATGCAACATTTTAACAGCGTGGAATTGAAATGTATAAATTCCAGTAAATTGTTGTAGAACAAATAATATAACCATAAAGAGTGCGGGTTTAAAAACAGTTGGCTTAGATAAATGCCAGGCAATACGTCTGAACACATTACTTTTTTCAATTTCTTTATTAATTATCAAATCTTTTTTTTCTTTAATACTTTTCATCTCATTAAAAGTGTCTTGTATACCAGCACACTATAAAAAATAATTTAGATATTATACAGTTTATACAACTATAAACAAAAATATTCAATAATAAAAAAAAAACATGGAAATAACTTACATATTTAGAGTTTTTAAAATATTCTAAAGATTTTAAAGCTTTAGCATCTTGTCCTTTATGAATTAACCAAACAGGACTTTCAGGTGTCCAATATGCAGTCATGAGAACTGGGAAAAATGCCCCAGCACATGCTATCCATGCAACAATACGCCAATGTAGATACAACCCAGTGCAGTACATTAATAATATGCCTAGAAACAAAACAATAAATTCGGTTTTGATACACTCTGATTTTCGAACAAAAAAATAGTTATTATAATGATTAATGAATAATTATTATTTTATAAAATGCAGAATTTACTGAAAAATAATATACATTTTGTCACTTCTTAAACTATTTATTAGAGTTTAAAATATGTATTAGTTAAAATGCCTACCAAAAGATAACATCACAGAACCTATTGACATCATGGAACCTCGAAGTTTTGGACTAGATATTTCTGCCATATACACGTTAGCTGAATTTGTACCAACAGCTAAATTAAAATATTAAATATAACAGTATGGTAAAGTGTAAAATATTTAAAATCCTTAATTAAAAAATTATCATACACATTGCAAATCCAGTCAATAATCTTCCAATGATGATAATATGTGGGTTAAAAGCAAGTGCAATCAACATCCATCCAATAAAACATGGCCATAGAGAAATTTTAAACGTGGATATACGACCAATTCTGTCCAGTGTAAAAGCTATAAACAGACATCCAAATGGAGCAGCTATTGAAATACTGCTAGCTACATGCAAACATAAGAACATCTGAAAAGTTATATATAGAAAAAAGCCTTGTAAATGTTATTATTGAGTTATCAATAATTGTTATTTTTTTTTAATTACTAGTAAATGAAATCCCTTAATAATATTTTTCATGAAAAATTAATTTATTAAAAAATAATTGTAAATATAGAAAACAAAAATTTAAAATCTGATTGTTTTGTTTAATTAAATGTATTATATAACATACAAATACATCATTTGGTTTATTTTAATTTTAAATAACAAATATTAAGACATTTTACGCTTACTTATCATATTTATATTGGTGCAATAGATAAATCATGAATGTTTCACCTTTATGATCATGATATAATGAATATTTATATTTTAAATTTTACAAAAAAAATATGGTTCAACCATAGTTAGAGCTATAAATCAATATTTGATTATTTTTATTTGTATTTAATTTTTCATATTTCAATTAATATACAATCTAATATTTAAAAATATTATCTAAAAAAAATGTTCTTACCAATCCAGGAAGATTGAGATTTACTTATTTCACCCATTTCATCAGTGTATTTTTCAAGTTGTGGTATAAGTATTGCGGAAAATCCCAAAGCAAATCCTGTATGTAAGTTAGTAGTTGCCACAGATACACAAGCTAAAAACTAAATGCACAAAAGTCAAATACAAAATTGCATACAAACATACAATATACATTGATGAAAAACATTACAGTAAAATTACCTCAGCCCAATTAAATGCTTTTTTATTTTCATCTTGAACTTTTTCAGTTTCAAATTCATATTTTACTGGGTTTTCATTTAGTTTTATACTATACATAGATAGACACATAAATTATAATACAATAAATCAAAAAATATATATTACTAATAAATTATAATTATTACCTTTCTTCCTCCATTATGGCAATGTAATTTCAATATAGGTACTAGGTACTATCCAAACTATTACGATAAAGATAAAATCACTGATTTTAAGCTGTAATTGTTAGACTTGTTAATTAAAATGTTTGATTAATACCCTAGAACAAAAATTATAAATTGTATAAATAATTTATAGGTAGTTATGTCAAAAATAGTTCAAATGTATTAAATTTACAAGTAGGTAGTTAACATGTTTTTGAAAATCTCATATCCCATAGAATATTAATTGAACTTTATTAAATCAATTAAAATCGTTTTAGATTTTTTCCCACATTTTTCCACATCATAAAACAAATTTTACAATCATCTAAACTTAATAATTGATAATAACATAAATAATTAAAAACTATTTAAAATAATATCTCTAGAAAATAGACCCTTTGGTATTTATAAAATTATAAATAGTTAATAGGTACCTACTTTACCTATTTATCATAGTGATTATAAAAACTATTATTATCATCATTATTTGTATTTGTAATTAGATATATAGCAATATAACACTTGATTGTGCAATATTAAACTAAATAGGATTAATTTATTTTAAGTTTATAATTAGTAACAAATCCTTAATTATAATTTATAATACCTACCTATACTAGTAATATAGTATAACATAACAGTACTATCTACCTATAGCATACCTAATCAAGAAGATATTTTTATGAGCCTTCACCTTTGCCAATTTAAATATACAATGAATGATTAATCTGAAAATGGGACTAAAATATGAATACAATTATAGTCCAATGCCTTAGATAGTATATTATTTATGTTATGACTTAGTTGCATTTATTTTTAAATAAATTCTATAAATATTGATTCAAGATGAATTCTTTTGAGGTGATAGTTTAGATACAAATTGAATTATATTTCTTAAAGTAAACATGAATAAAGAAATATAACTTTTTATATTGATAAATATCAAATCACACAACACTCAACACTAAAAGATAGTTAGGAGTTACAATTATCATGTATTTAAGTATTTATGTAAGAAATTAATGATGTTATTTTTAACATTTATGTTAGCTATGGCATTATGGTTAGACTGTTTATATTGTAATACATTCAGTAATGCACTATACACTCTACTTTTAATAATCATAAATTAATAAAAAATATTATCGACATGATTATTTCATAAAAAATTAAAAACCCATAGCATAAAACTCAATGTTTTACCTCTACAAGAAATCAATATGTTTTTGATAATAAGCAAAGAGCAACCATAACTACAAATCCTACATTCTGGCTGAAGCAATGAATGTGAAATACAATGGACAATAGTTTACAAAATGAGACGGTTTTTAAGTTTTTTTGTGTTTGAACTTTTAAGGGCATATTTAATAATCGCAGTGTCTAGAGCACAGGGCGCCAGGATAAATATTGGGTAATCGGGCGCTCGGTCACACTGGTAGAATCGGGTGTCTAATTTCTTAAATCATAAACTATGGACGGAGCCATCAGCCATGTCCCGGTATTTGAAGCACATAATATAAGCAGGGTATGGCACGGTATGAATTGACCGGATCGGGCGATTGAGGGCTTGAATACCAAAATACCGCAGTGGCATACGTGAAATACGGAAAGGTAAACAAGCCGACCCCGCCAATGTGATAGTCTTATCTATCTCAGTGGTGACAGTAAACGTTACCTGAACATGGGTAAACAAGGGTCTAACATCATGTTGGTGTACAGGATCGTTTTCTATGGTTCAGACTTCTGATCATAGGTAAACAAGAACCCGATCAGCTGATCGAGTGTCACTTCAATATTATTCTGTGCTAATATCAAGTGGTTATCATAGTATTCCAGTATAAGAAATACATATTAGAGTAAGCATAATTTGAATTTTGAATAGATAATATTACTTATTAGCTCGTTTATGGAGAAAACTTCAATTGTTTATATGATTTAAGCCTAATAATAACCTTATAATTGTATAAGTATCTAACTTTTTTAGTTGTATTATCTTATTCAGTCTGTACTAATCCATCTATTCAAGTTTATCTTTATATTAAATCATTTTAGTTTATCATCTGAGTGTTGTTAAGTATTTTAAAGTTTAAAAGTTAAATAATGATATAATAATATCCTAAGAATGAAGCTGGGAGATACATTTAGCTCATTCGAAGCATTTGAAAGTTGTTTTATGGTCTACAAAGATACTCATTTTGTAGACTATTTTACAAAAGATTGTAAAACACTTGCTTCAATTAATTCTAAATTCCCTAATGTTAGAATGAATGCAGCATCAAAAGAATTAAATTATTATTATATTAAATTTTGCTGTATACATGGTGGGACATACAAAAAAAATTAGTCTTGATCAACGTGTGACATTGTAAGTACATTTATTAAACACATATATAATATTTAATTTTTAAAAATTAATATTCAAATGATTTAAGTACAATGAATCAAGGCTGTGAAGCTAGTATTTATTTAAAAGCTTCTGAAAATGGGAAATTATTAAAAATTACAAAAATTAATGAAAATCATAATCATGAAATTTCAAGAACTTTATAAAGTCATCTTCCGAACCAAAGAAAACTTACACCAGAAATTAAGGCAATAGAATTAGAACTTATGGACTTTAAGGCAAACAAAAAATTGATTCGGAACAAAATTATGAAACAAAGTGGTAAAATAATTACTCTAAAGGATTTGTCCAACCATACGACCGGTAAAAAAAAGCAATAATTTTATTGAACGCTTTTACTACAGTGTGTTTTTAGGAAATCATTATTCAAAGAGTGATTTAACACAAGTTGTCAATAAATTAAAGGAAAAATTTAAATGTATAGTAGAAATATCAACAGATAAAACAAATAATTTGAATGGTATTTTTATACAAGACAAAGTTATGGCAGAGTCTTTCAATTAATTTCCAGAAGTAATATATCATACATATTAATTGCAATTTATAATATAGATTTTTTATTTTAGGTAGTATTTGCAGATACCACATATAAAATGCTAGATTTAAGGCTTCCAGTTTATATTCTGATGACTGAGGATGGTAATTGGCAAAGTGAAATAGCAGCAATTGATTTATTAGTAAATGAAGAAGAAATCACCTTGCACTGGTTCTTTGAAACATTTTAAAAAAACAATCCAGTTTCTATTAATACTCGAGCTTACGTTACTGACAAAAACATGAAAAAAAAGAAATGTTATCAGGTCAGTATTTTCCAATGCTGCACTAACAATATGTTTATTTCAAACGTTACGTACATTTAATCGAGAAAATGAAATTTAACACCGGAACCAAGAAATGATGTCAAACAAATTTTCAAAATTTAACATACTGTAACACACAAGAAGAGTATGATTCTGTACATCACCATCTTCAAGCTATGGCACCTGAATCTATAATGGAATATTATAATAAGAGTTGGCATGGTATGTACACAATGAATGGGTTATGGGTATGACATTTAATACTGGGAATTTTATGAATAAAACCAATAACAGGTTGAAGATTTTTAATAGAAAAACGTTTCATTGTATTGTACTGTGTGCGATTGGAAAGGGCTAAAAATGCTATAAAATTGGTCCAAAAACAGCCAACTCAAAAAAATTAAAAAATTTCAGAGCTACAACAGTTTTATAGTTTATTAACACCATACGCACTCAATTTCTTAAAAACACAATTTTTAATGTGCAGCTGAAACTGATGTTCTAAAGAAAACAACAGAAAATAATTGTAGCTGTCTTTTTTATAACTCTATGAGATTACCATGTTGTCATATATTCAATTTAAGGAAATAACGGTCTCTATCTTTATATGATAATAGTTGATGCGATGAAAGGTGGAGTAGGAACTCTTATTACCAAAACCTAAGGGTTTTCAAGAATGTTGAGGTCATAAACACTGACAATAACAATACTACAAGTACAACTTTGTACAAAAAAAAGAAAATTCCCACAACTCATGCGAAGTTTCGTAAGGCATCAATAATAGGAGCAAAGATTGCTGATCTAGTTTCAAAATCATCAAATATTCACTACCACCGAAAAATCAAACAGTTGGAATTTGTTTTTAACACTTGGTTAAAAGGGCAAGAATTATCATTACATATATTAGGTAATTATGCAATGTTATTCGTTGATCTATATGATAATCTTTGGATAGTTGTAATGGCCTAATTGAAGGTAATACAACATTAATAATCTTCATACAAATTGATAATTAGATACTAGATTATTCTATAGGTGCAGATGATGAAGTTATGGATGTGATTGAAGAAGAGTGCTGTGAAAATAATGATGCTATGGATGCCGTTTGGGATAAATGTGATTTAGATGTACCTTTGGACAAAATACACAATAACTTGATAGCAAACAATTAAAATAAAAAATAAAAATTATTCATTGAGTAAAGAGGAAATTAAAAATCCTAGGGATATGGATTTGGAAATAATAGATGATGATGTCATCTTAATGTTGATTAGACGCTTTTTTGATAATGATGTGTGATCCTCTATTACAACAAATGTTGATGTAAATACAAAAATGTGTTGGCCTAAAATGCAAAAAAATATATATATAGGTAAAAAACCATCTATTCGATGTGATAGTAATCTACATTGGTATCACGATTGTGTACAACAAAATCAGCAAACTAAGGATTGGTTTTGATTTAATTGTGTTTTATTAAAAATTTCACATATTTATTTATTTTTATTTCTGGGTATTGTACGTTTATTACATTATGAATTATGACTGTTGGCGTAAATTAATATTACTGATAATATTTTTATATTTTATGAATTTTTCTACATTGTTGTATAATATGTATAATACTATAAACTATTTTAAACTAATCAACTACTGACTACTCAACAATGTACATGTATTTTGTTCTATATACTGCATTCGTATTTTATACTTCCGTTGTTCTGTCTCTGAAGTCTGAATCAGGGCAGCTGGTTACCAAATATTTATCCAGACACTTGTTGCTCTAGACATAGCGTTATATAATTGGTAAAATGAAGTTTAAAAAGCAGTCAGTTCCCCAGTTTTTATAATTCTACTTTTTAATGATTGTATTAATATGAATTGAACATTTATTAGAGAAAATACAAATTCACCCACAGGCTGCAATAGAATTTCAACATTTAATAATAGTTAAAATGCATGAAGGTATAATAAAAACTATAGATAAGTATACCTATTAATTACTAAATGTATATAATATGTATATTGTGTATAATATGAATAGAAAACATGCGTTATAACCAGGGTTTGGGACTTATAGCACCAAGCAAAGAACTCAAATGCTTTATTATAAGCACTTAAAAAAACAATAAAATAATAAAAAAAAAACAACACTACTAAAACTATCAACAAATTTTTTTTTTATATTATCATTTAATTTTTATACTTAGAAACATAAAAAAAAAATCAAAAACTTTTTTAACATTTTAACTTCTTTATTATACCTATACTTCTAATAGATTTTCTGAAAAATGTTCTAATAACTATAAAAAATTTGATCTATTTGTCGGTTTGTATAGATAAGCGAGCAAATAATATGATTCCAGTGTTTATTACTAGGAAATATGATACAAAAGAAAAAAATTATTTATAGTTGTAGAATTACCATAAAAAAACACCAAAAATTAACTAAAAGGTCTAGGTTTTTGTTTGAAATAAGTGTTATCATAAAATATAATTAAGCAGATATATGCGGAAATCATCAGGAAATAAATCTGGAAATGAGCATTTAAAAAAAAAAAAAGGAATTCAAAGCACTTTCATAATTGAATGTGTTGTAACATGTCATAAACTTCCATAGCAATCTGCTAGATTATATGCCAAACCAGAAAAATATACAAATGCATATTAAGTCCCATACCCTGGACTCTAGTTAAAAGTTATAACACAGTTAAATGTTATGAAAATTATTTATGTAACTACATACCTATATTTATATTATTTTAAAATATTTCAGATAATTCTATTTATAGTAAACAAATTGTTACTATAGTTGCATCATTATACCTAGTTTCATAATTCCGAAACACAGAAATACAGTTTAAATTTCGAGAACAGTTAGATTTAGTTTTGTCATTTTTTTTATTTAAGTATCACTTAACATTGATTTTAAACTACATTACCATTTTTATCAATAGGTAATATTTACCTATTTTATTATTGAATACTTTGTAAAAGGGCACATGCCAGTCAATACCAGGGAATAAATTGGTAATAAGAGATTGGACTGGTCTGGTACTTGGTATTTATTGGCATAAGCATTTCATATCGACTCAGCAGATAAAGCTGAACAAACAAAAATCAATGCTCGCTTAACACAATTTTTAAATCACGATTTTACTCACGGTTTTGGAGCGTGGAATCCAATCTGTAAACTTGTGCTTGTCTATGAATCCTACAGACGAAAACTAAATTCTCGTGCTCACAGTTCCCCGGACCGAAATAACTTGTACAATAGGTAATGTTGAAACGGCGAACGACAGATCTCAGACACAGTCTACGACGACTGACGAGTGTCGGACAATAGTATAATATTATTTATTGTCTATTGTGCGGAGTTGCATGGAATATAGATAACGAAATAGCGGAGTCGGGGTAACGCCGGGACACCTGTAATATTAATTCGCACTGTCATAAACATCGAGAGTTTAAACTTGTAAACAAATATAAATACAAAATGTAATAGTCGTAATATTACCGTAAGCCGTAATCAGCCCTTAGACAATTGTGTTATAATAGCATGATTACACGATTGCCGCAAGCGTCAACAGCACGACCTCCTCGGTGGCTCGGTGCCAAACTGCCAAGGCGTGTTACAAGTTACAACTATAGTAAAAGCCAGAAAACAACTAGACACGATAAGAACGACGAAGTGCACTGCGCACGCGTAACGTAATCGCGCCTCGGGCCTTTATAGATAAAGTTTGTGACCGCCGCAAAACCAAGTCCGACTGTAAAATTCTGGCTTAGTCTTCACTACCATTAATTGGCATTGTGCATTTGTGCATCGTTTTCAACATGATTAACTACTTTTACGTTAACACAAATAAAAAATGTAAATCAGAAATATAACGGTTACTATAGCTCAACAATTAGTTAGCATAAGTATAAGTTGTACAATTGAATCTATAGCCTATATAATGTAGGTACAAACATGGGAGATGGAACATCATAAAAAATAATAATATTAAATACACGATGATCATCTTCTAATATCCGTGATTAAATAAAAGCTAACAATAGAAATATAGAATTATTATTCATATCCATAAAGTAATAAAACTATTAAGTATAAACTAATCCATAGCATAGACGCAATTCGGAGGTCTACCCCTCTAGTTTTACCTGTACATCAACTAGATTTAAATTTTTAATCATATTTTACTTTAAGATATCAATTATCAGGGCCTGTGCTGCTGATACAATTTTAACCTCCTTCCCTCTTCAGAAAAATTTCCTTAGATTCGCTAATGACCTAAAGGCATCTAAAATATTGTAGTAAAATACTTACATTACCAAAAACTATTATATTCGAATTTTAAAAAAATGGCGCGTAAACATTCGACAAAGATAATACTTATCAATTATCGTGTTTACAAGTGTCCTTATTTTTAAAAATTTAACTACCTACATTGACGATTGGATGTTTGAAACATCAAACTTTGAATCCGTCATTCGGGCGTTCGAAGTCCATCATAAGTTTTTGTAATTCATTTTTGTAATTATTGTCATTAACATGAATGAAGGTTGTTATAATACATATACGATATCGGATTCGGATGATTCAATTATAAACGAGAATCGTCGGACAAATGAAACTTCGCGCAAAGACGATGATTATTTGTCATCTGAGCAGGAACCAGAATTTTTTCTCCAAGTTTTACAATGTGTACGATTTGAGTTTAATTAATTAAATAATATGATGCTTGATGACCTTAAATTGTTACACGTTATGGGGGTTTTTTTTAGCAAAAACGAAAAAAATTAACATCTCCAGAAAAAACTTGTGACGATAACAAGCAGAAAGATGTCCAGACTGATGACCCTGCACCAAATACTTATGTACCTGTAAGTTTGAAATATTTATTCAATATTATAGAAGGGACAAAATATTCTTTTGGTGACAAGTAAAAATCATGGAAGAAGATTTTGTTGATTTTGTTTTATACTATTTTATAAAATTATGTTCTTCTTGTTACTAGTACACTTTTAAGTTTTAATATTATATAAATGATTTATCCACAATATTACTAATAATAATTGTAGTACAAATTTATTTACTTTATCTACAAAAAACATTATTTAAAAATTATATTTTGTTTTTATCTTATACAGAGAACAGGACCATGCATTTATACTAATACAAACAATAAACAAGCAACTGAAAAGGTATTTCAATCAGTTGAGAGTAAATATAGAATATTTTTAAATTTCTTTTTAAAAAAAACATTGATTATAAGTACTTACCATTAATATTTTGTGAATATCAATACTTAAAATCAATGGTTTTCTAAACTTTAGTTAGTGATTTATTTATCACATTCTAGGTAGAGCCAAAACGAAAAAAACGTTCAACAAAAGAAGAAATCGAAGAAAGAAAAAGGGAAGAAAAGGCTAGAAAAGATGTTAAGAAGAGATTAGCTGAAGAATTAAAACGTATAAGTCCAAAAGAATGTATGAAGGTATGTACATATTATTTATTTTCAGTATATTCTAATTTGTTCAATTGTTTAATACATTGTTTGTATTTTGTCATTTCAGTATGTAACTGTTCACATTGATAAACATTTGACGAATAATGAATACTGTGAGGAGTTAATATCTGGAATAGAAACTACAGACGCAAAATATAAAATTGAGTCAAATTCAGCTGTATTAAATTCAATAACATGGTCAAGACAAATAGTAAATTATAAATTACTTTAAGCACAGATTATTATTTAAGAGCATAGTAATACAACATTTGTTTCATGTGAATTGAAATATTTAAACAAGTATATTTTATAGCTTGGAATCTAAAACATAAAGTGAACATTAAACATTGGCTTATAACATATAACCATTAACTAATTATGAACTTGTTAAATCAATGTTATTTTATTTTATTTTTTTAGTCTGATTCTGTTAGTGAAGATGAACATTTTATGTTGTTGATTTGGGAATTTGATTATGTTAAGAATCTGATTGTATCATGTCAATTATTAAACAAAATAAATGATATTAAATTACATAAAACACAACTTTCAATCATCATATTTAGTACTGCTGATCAACTCAAGTATTTATTATCATATTGTACTTACTTCTACTGCTATGAAACTCTAATTAAATCTAAATAATTCTTCCGCGCGCACGTGTGTGTGTGTGTGTGTGTGCGTATATATATCTTTATTTTTAAATTTGTTTAACCATTTTGTTACAGACAAACAAAATCTAAGAAGAATGGGAAGAATTCTGGGTATGTATTAATATACATTTTGCAAATTTGTGCAAATATCAAACTTAAATAATATTTTGATAGGCCAGATATGTTGAATAGCCTCGAGCAGATGATGCTGAATTGTCAAGTTTCATTTCGCTTTGTAGAAAATAAAAACGATATAGGATTGGCAGTTTTGTATTTAACCAAATCCATTGCACAGAAACCATACAAGTAACTAAATATTTTTTTTTTAATGAGTTTTAGTTCATAATTTGAAGAGTTTTTAATAAATCAGTATTATTTGTTTTAAGATTGAACAAATACAAAGAAGAACAAGATGGATGTGATTGGTATGCATCTGGTCACACAAAAAATTGTGTAACAGTAGACAAAAATGGCATAGGCTTAACTCAACTATGGAGACAAATGCTATCGCAATTTCCACTATGTGGTCTTGAGACGAGTGAAGCAATTGCAGCAGCGTATGGGTCACCTATTGCATTGTTAGAAGTAAGCAGTAAACAAATTATTATTTATCAATGTTATGTATATTATGTTTTACAAACATTATTCATTACATAAAGACAGATTAAAAAAAAATATTGTATCTTAATGCATTTTATATCCATTTTGTGTATTTATGAATAATAATTATTATTTATTACATTTTTAATCTAGGCATATGATAACTGCAGCTCAAGATTAGAAGGAGAAACAATGCTACAGGATATCCCCGTAAGTTCCTTTTTAAATATTAAAATAGCATAAGATATATTTGCATTTAAATAAGATATCAGAAAAAAAATTAAAAAATGAATACAAATTTTAGGTCCGCCGTGGATTTGGTCCACTAGCTTCCAATCGTCGTATTGGACCAGAACTGAGCAAAAAAATATACACATTTTTCACAGATAATACAGGATGCACTACATTATCTCAAGAATAGTGAACAATAACGGAAAAAGTTATAAATAAATAACATAAACTAAACTATTTAATAACAACTTATATTACTGGTAATTATATTTTTCTTCTCATTATATTCAGTTTCATAGTATTAAGTGTGCATAGACTAGACACGTCTAATTCATTGTCATAATAATACATGTATTATGTATATAAATTTAGTTTTTACATTTTTAATACTATTTAGATAATTTTTTAAACAAAACAAAAACTAGAATTTCCTATTCATAAATAGTTGTTAATATAAATAACAAGATCAAATAAAAAAAAGCATTAGTTCATGACTTTTCTCAAAGCATTTAGAATGTAATCAGATTAATAGAAATTGAGCTGAATAAACGTGGAATTATGCAACACGTTTTTTTATATGAACTACAGTGCAGACAAAAACATGATGTTCATTAAAAATTACTTAAAAATAAAATAAATAATAACAATAGTTAAAAATAAAAATAAAATATTCAAATAGAAAAACAAAGATAAATAAATAAATAAACAAGCTTCGGCCTTAAGTTGTTGAATATTGCATTTGTCGAATGAAACAGTTCTGCCTTGTTCCTAACCAAGAATATGAAATTTTCTAGGAAAAGGGTTTTTTATTTATTCTTCAGTAGGTACTGAGAATAGGTTTTCAATACCAATATTGAATTTTACATAAACGCATTAAAGTTGCAATGGTCAAGAAACATGGCAGCAGTGGATTGATTATTGTTGAATACGTATGGCAGTGTGACGACAGAACTGCCATAAACAGTTGATGCCGTACTTGCGTTCATTGGTTGTCAATTCATTCGTAATGGCTGGTCATAACGTTGTCGCAATGCAGCTTCAGGACCAGCAGTAAGTGCGACACCAGCCATTGGATTTATGCGAAAGCTATTTTCAATAGCCATGGTGTTAGCTGCCATCGCAATAGCCCCTAATCGACATTAAATAAATAAAAATTGGTTTTTTTTTCTATTAATTATGTCGATATTAAAGAATTTAACCTTAATCCCACTAGCCTATTGTACAATATATATTTTATAATAGATACAATTTAATTTAGACTCGATTAACAGAATTAGAATACCTTCAAAGTAAATATTATTTTGATAAATAAGAGCAATAAATTATTTCATAATTACTATCAAAATGTGTACCTTTAATATATTATGAATTATGATAAATGAATAAACAACTAAATATTAAATAGATTTACATTTTTATTAACATAGTCAGTCCCTGGAGTTCTTTGTATTCAATTTGAATTAGATGTTTAGTTTTATAAAAATAATTAACAATATTTGGTATATTAGGTATGTTAAGAATTATTCCGGCATACCTGCATCTTGAGATGGATCGCGTGTTTTGGTATGTAGAAATGCACAGTATGGCTTGCGACATCCAGTTGGTTGTTTTTCCCAATAACATGGTATTGCTTTACGGTTTTTCTAAAAAATAAATAAATAAAGGATATATACACATATTATAATATTATATAACAGAAAATAGGATTGCAGAAGATAGACGGTAAAAATGATCATCACTTTTCTTAAAACTTGGTACGGTAGAACCTCATTAATTCGGACTAATTGGGGCTTTAGGTTGTTCGAAATAATGAAAGTCCGGATTAAACAAAATAATCAAAAATCGTAAATTATAAATTCAAAAAAAATTTTATTGGAAAAAATGCATCATCAAGTGATTAATCTAGTGGCAACCACATTCTTTTTACTACACTTGTTTCTTTTTCTACATTAAATTTCAAAACAAATTTTCTTACATCATCATTTTATACTTCGTTTTCGTGTTTATTTTAATCTACGGCATAAATTAGCGTAATTTACGTATTATAAACGGCTGCCCGGATTAAACGAAGTCCGGACTAATGAGGTTTTACTGTATAACTTTTAGCAAGCAAGTTTGTAAGTATTCGAGGAATATTCAAGCCTATTATTTGAATCTAATGAATAGTTACCTTTAATTCCATGTGGCGTAATGTACAATGATCATTTTCACACTTTCCGCTTTGCCAAAAACTACACACCATTTCACATCCTAATGCTTGTGGTTCATGGCGAAATGGACATTTGTCTCCCTATAAAATTACACAGATAAATATACGTATATTAGATTTACCAGTAATTAAAATCAATAATATAACACAAGTCAAAAAACGTTAGTTTTGAATAATTAATTTGAATATCTTGTAATATTTATTTTCTAAACAGTGGGTAAGAGAAACATTTTTAGTATATTACACGTTTAAATACATATCTGATTTAACTTTACACATTTATAAAGCTCTCATTTGTCATGTGAAATTTGAGTCTAAAAATATGAGCTATATCAAATTTAAAGATAAAAATACAGATATTATTAGTGAAATGTTAATTGGTTATTGTTTAGTATTTTACTAAATATTGTTATAGAAACTAGTAGAAAATACAACATGTCTCCTCCTACACAAATGGAATTATTTTAATTCACTTGATACGAAGGTAAGTAGATGGTGTACATTTAATATTGATAGGAACCAGGGTTAGACTGGCCCAACGGGACACCAGGGATTTTCCCCGTGGGCCACAGCAATACAGGGTCTGTACCACCGTAGCTATATTGGACTGCGAGTTTGAGGTAGTGATGATCATGATAAAAAATAATAATCTTTTTTTTTTGGAATTTATTTCGATTGAAATTGATTACAAAAACCAGAGAAAATTATAGTAGTAACTGTTCAAAAACGTGGGGCTGTCAAAAAATAGAATTTCCCGGTACATATTTTTGTGCTAGTCCAACCCCGACGAAAACACATTTTTTATCTAGTTTATAGTTTGTGACTTATGCAAAACAAGGAACCAACCTTCATGCAAGTCGAATAGTAATAAAAGTAACAGTCGTTGTTTTTCTTGTCACCCTTTTCCATGGCTTCTGGTGGTCCTGAGTGGCGTCTACCGCGTGTGTATCGTTGTTCAAACGATTCGGTCCTGTTGGCGTGAAAAAAACGTGTCAAAACAAAACGATAAAAAAAAAGCACAAGCAGATGGGGTGGAGTAGGGCGGTAGGTGGGGTTGTAGGACACAATAATATTATTATAAATAACGATAATATTATCGTTGATATACTTTTAACCGGAGTGGGCGGCAGGACGTCGTACAAGTATGCAAGACGAGACGGCGGCACGAGAGAAAAATAATATTACGCCGAGACGTCCGTGTACCGCCCACAGGCTACTGGTAGCGTTGAAACACCACCGACTGGCCAAACGCCGAACACGGACCAGGGACACCTCCGCCGGCGGGGGCACACGCACGCAGAGCACGTTCACCGAATATGTACCACCGGCGAAGGCGACCAGGCGAGAGCCCGGATGATACCAGGCGGTGCGTGTGCTGCGTTCGGTGATAACGTGAAAAACGGCCGCCGACCGAAACGAGAGATGTGCACAACGTGCGCGCCCCCGGGATTACGCGGCCGAGCTGCGGAGGTGGGCGACACGCGTTATGGTTATTTTTAACCCGATTCCCGTCTTACCCGTCTCTCCCCTGTGGTGTCCCCTGTCCAATGCCGCCGCTGTGGTCCGGTGGTTGCTGTTCCCCGGGTTTGAGTACTGTTGGGGCGCGTTCGACTTGTCACAGCGGCGGAGGCGACGTTAATGTCCGCGGCCGGCCAGACTCGACATGAAAACCGCCGGGCGAGAGAGCGGACGGTAAACAATACGAGAGTGTTGTTCTGCAGCTGTTGTTGTTGTTGTTTATCGTTATTACCGTGATTAGTGATGAATTTCTGAACAATTTGGTCGAGCGAAAAATCAGCCCAAGCGATGGTCGTGGAAATAAGAAAACGAAAAAAAAATTCGCCGCTCAGTGCTCGTCGTGCGTTATCGGCGTTTTTCGGAAAACGGCACCGCACGGCGCGGCGACACGGATCGTTGCCCGTAGACGTTGAAAACACATGACGCGGACGGAACCTCTTTGTAATTCGCCGACGCTGTTATCACCCACTGTTGTTTTCCATAATAATAATATTCTTTCGCAGTCTCGTGTCGCGACGAGCGCGTGTCTTCAACGTTTGACGTGTAGACGCTAGACAGTCTGTCAGTCCGACGGTGTTGTGGTGTTTACTGTCTGTCCGCCTGGCGTCTGCCGATTACTTTGGACCCGCCTGGTGTCTCAGCGTCCGTCTGGCGTCTACTGTTCGCTTTCCGATCCAGAACGCCACTGATCGCTGTCGTCGTCTAAATGGCCGATCGTCTTACCCAACTCCAAGACATCGTTAATCAGGTAAGCAGCGGTCAAGTGCGAACAATGAACACATTATGTAGGTATTAGAACAGTACACCTACGGTTCAGTGAAAAATGCGTTGTTGCGTGTCAATATCGACAGTCGTATGAATGGATAAGGTGCGTTTTTCCTAATTCCCTGCAGTGTGAAACAGTGGCACGGCGTCGTGTAGAGACTCCGACAGTGTCCGGTCCGGTAGTCATCGGTACCAGACTATGTTTGATCATGTGTGCAAATGGTCAAGGCCACATTAAAAAAAAAAATCAATTGTATGTTGTTATTAATTTGCACTAAAATAAATGTATAAAAGCTGTTTGCTTTTTAACATTTTATTGGACCGAAAATAGTTTATAAAAATATATTTGAAAAGATAGTACTTCAGAATATTAGTGCTGTAGAGATTAAATGCACATCAAACATCAAATTAATAGTCAACTTCGGCAATAACATTAATTACCTATATTAAATGATGTTGAGTATTACATATATTCAACATTGTTATTACAACGTACAGCTTAGGAAAGAAAAAGATCATCTTTTAAAAAATATTTAATATTATGCATAATATGTGTATTAAAATCAAGACAGTATTTAATAGTCCGAAGTAGATTTGATTAATTTAAATCTATCAAGTTGTGATACATGTTCCATAAATTATGAAAGCTTAAACTTTGTACAATATTTTGAAAGAAACCAAGACAATAATTTATTATGCATTTATACTTATTGTTTTTTATTGTAGACATTTACCAAATCATTTTCAATTATCAACCTAATCACCGATTACAATTTTACAGCAGGCGGATAACTTCTGCAACAGCATTGGAATTTTACAACAGTGTGCTCTACCGTCCAAGTTTTCAAACTTTGACCGAAACGGATCGCAAACACCACAGCAACAAGAAGGTATTTATATCTGATATTTTGAATAACTTTAAAATCTGATGGACACATAAAGTAACATGTACTAACAATTAACTGTGTTTAGATTATACAAGTTTATTTTCTTCACTTATAACACGCTGTGCCAAAGATATTGACGCATTAATCGAATCATTACCCAACGACGATACTTCTACAGATTTACAAGTATGTTTAACAGAGGTTCTCAAACTTTATTTTTACTTACCACTCGTGTATATTAAGGAACCATGTCATGTACCCTTAATGACAAAAAAAGGAAATGTTTAAAATTTCAATTAATTTGCATTTATAAGAATAATAATTTACGTACATTAACCGTATATTTAAAAATTATTTACAGCTTACACTAAACATAAAATAGTATTAGATCCATCACAAACATTAGTAGAATTATTAATTTATTAATTTTTTATTCTATATCTGTGTAGCCTTCCGTATACCACAGTTTGAGAACCACTGATGTTTAGTATTTACTATTTAGTTCTATTACTTACAAAGAAAATATTAGTATACAATATATTTATTTAAATATTTCTACTTTTATAGGTTGCAAGTTTGCGGAGATTAGAGCAGGATAATCAATTAGCTGCAGAACGTTTGGAAGAAGTTGTTCGAAAAGGTGAACTTCTTCTTGAACAGATACAGGCAGCTCTCTCTGATATTGCTCAACAACAATTAGATATTCAACAAAGTAGTGATAACAACACGTGTTAATAAAAACTAAAAACAGATTGTATAATGAAAGTAAAAAATAAAAAAAATGTAGCCAAAGCTATTTCGGCTATTGGTAAGACACATAAAATTAAAAGGAATAAAATAAAACGATTAACAGAAAAGAAAGGTAAAAAGAAGAAGATATCAAAAAAAGCACTGATCGAAGTCGGTCTGAAAAATGACAAAAAAAAACCTAAAGCAAAAGTAGAAACTACTCAATCTATTACAAATGACAATTTAATAAAATTAACAAATATAAGTTACAAAGGTGCGCCTGAAAGTTCTACTCCTAGTTTATATAAACAACAAAAGAAGGTTGATGGAGACAAAACACCCAGTTCCTTTATTCAGAGAATGAAAGATAAACTGAAAGGTGCAAGATTCAGGTATACAATAGTTAACCTTGTTTAATATTTTATAAATCTATATAGTTAGTTAATTGTTTTTTGTATTTACGCCAAAATATTTTTCAGATATATAAATGAACAATTTTATTCATCTAGCAGCCAAGACGCTTTGCTATATTTTAAAAAAGAACCAAGTGCATTCAAAGCCTATCACAACGGCTACATGCAACAAGTTACTCAATGGCCAGTCAAACCACTAGATGTTATAATAAAACAAATCAAGCCAACGTAAGCTATATTTGTTAAGAAGCTTTGAATAAATTACATTTTTAAATTCATTTTATTAGTAAAATTGTTCTTTAATTTTTAGTTTGAAGAAGTCGAATGCCAATTCACCTGTTGTAGTTGCAGATTTTGGTTGTGGTGATGCCAAACTTGCTCGGGCATTTCCTAAAGTAAAAGTTCATTCATTTGATTTTGTGGCAGTCAATCAGTATGTTACTGCTGGTGATATGTCTCACACTGGCTTAGCCAATGGATCTGTTGACATTGCAGTTTTCTGTCTCTCCCTGATGGGCACTAATTTACAATCATTCATCAAAGAAGCCAATAGGGTTTTGAAAACTGGGTAATTTAAAATTAGTATAATATTTTGATGGTAAATGTCCCAGATATTGATGATATTATTGAAACTTAATGATGTGGATATTCGTTTTGTTCATAATTATTATTTTATTCTAACTGACTCTGTGCACTTTGTTGCCTGCTAAAATGCCAACTCTAAATGATTTAAACTTTGTTCAATTTTTTGCCTGTTAAAAATGTCAACTCTGTTTGATTTAAAATTTTAAACTGTGTTCAATTTGTTATTTAATATTCGGTGTCATGGTGTTCAAAAATTTCCATCGACCATTTTGAATCTCGAAACACTTGTGGAAGCACCACTTTAAAATGCTTTCTTTGTGCACACTTACATAGTGGTACAAAGGTAAGTTGGTTTCTAAGTAGGTATTGTTTAGGCTCTACTGCAATCAGTCAGTGAGGTAGTCATGACGCATTCAATTATATTATAGACATCCTGTCTCGCCTTACCAGTTTAAATTTGAAGAATCAGATACGCAATTTATTTTAGACAGTATTTTTGAATGTTTGATGTTAAACTTATCATACACATAAATTATGCATAAAAAATTGTTTGTCCGATTTTGTTTTTAATTATTGTTTAAAAACATTTCTTGGGGTGCCTAAAATCTGCCACAAAAGTTTTGTGACCATCGAATGAATAGTGTAGAAATGGTTAAAGAACAAACAAACATTCACTTATATGTAGAAATAAATTATGTATGCTCTATATAAGTTTTATTTGGCGATCATGTTTCTTTCTTGTATTCTTACCTTCACTACACAGGAAGAGTATAGATGATTTACCATTTACCATTTGCGGCCTTGCGGGTGACTGACTAGTGACACCACACCACTGCCTAACAAAAACTTGCCAAGCATATTTCTTCACTTGTAAATAGAGTTAACACGCAATTTTTATATTTATTCCTTTCTTAATTTCTTAATTTAAAATTTTTTCTTTCAACAATAATAATACACTTATAATATTTTGTTTTATTTTTAGAGGTTTGATGAAAATAGCAGAAGTTGAAAGTCGATTTGATGATATCAACACATTTGTTGATAGTTTGGCTAAATATGGTTTTGAAAAAACAAAAGTAGATCAGACAATCGAAATGTTTGTCTTTATGGACTTTAAAAAAACTCAAGACATAAGTAAGACAGCATTAAAAAAGAAATTACCCACATTAGAATTAAAACCTTGTATTTACAAAAAACGTTAATGTTTTTTTTTTTAAATAAAGATTTTATAACTAATTAAACTATCAAATGAATATTTTTATTGATTTTTCACTTGACCATTGTGTTTTTCAAGACACCTGGTAATGTGCATTATATTTAAAACCTAATTATTCTCACTGATAAGTGATTCAATGAAAAGATTGAGTGTATAAATCAACCATTTTATGTTCCTACTTAATAACAAAAAAAATTAGGAATTGTGATTTTGGACTTATTTTGTCACTTTGTACAAAAAATAACACAATATAAATTGCAATAACAACCCAAGATTAAAACAAAAACAGCTGAAACTTTGTTATTATAAATGTACAGTTATTTAAAATGTATACTAACAGTTTTGTACATAATATATGTATAAAATGTATTCTATTTTAATATGAATACTGAATTTTGTGACAAGGCACTTACAATATAATAATTTAAATTCTAACCAGACAACATTATTAAATATAAACTATAAAAGTTTTAAATTGTGATCAGACTTATTAATAAACACAGTCGTCTAATAAAATGAAAATATTTCATTTGAATATTATGTTGGCCACTTAAAATAACATTCTACTAAATACTATTAAGATAATACATATTAAGTAGTTTATTTTTCTTCTTCAAAAGTTGAATGGCAACATTTAGACAAATTAGATGGCACCTTAATTATGATTGAAAATAAAGATTAATAATATTACAATTTACAATATGTTACAATGTCGATAATTGACGACCAAGATTTCAACATTTAATTTGTACATTTTTTACAGACATGTACATTTAATTTTAATGCAGTCATCAGTTAATATGATTGTGAAACATGGCAATGGTTAATTATAGTTCTCGATCAAATTATTTTTATAATTTTTTGTGGTAACATGCAATATCTTGTCAAATTAATGTTTTTATATTTTTAATTTATTCTTACGATTATGTAAATGTAAATGCAAATTATAATTTACATTTTAAAATAGTATTTGATGATAACTAATTAGATTAAGCAAATCAACAGTCACAAATGACTACTTATATTATTATTTATTATGTATATTGCAAAGAAACATAAGTGGCCTCTGACAATTATAGCCACTAAACAAATCTGAAGATAAATAAATTAAGAACTTTATTTTGTATTAAGGAGGGAGGGGTATATCAGGTTCATATTAGTTTCTGATGAAGTACCTAATTATTAAATGGCATTTCCTATATGCAGTCTGTATACTGATACGTTTTGCATATTCAATATGTATGACCATAATATTATTTTATTTGCTCTCAAAATGTAAGAATATTAATATATTTAAACACGTATGGCAAAATAAAGATGATTCTATTTTATATGAATTACGAATACCACATCTAACCAGTTTAAACCACGGAATTAAGTCTATTCCAAAAATGTACCTGAGTATATTTTTAAGGCAATATATATATAATGTACTTTTTTAACTTAATATTTTCGTACCTACATTGGTAGTTGTTATTACTTAGGTAATTATTATTAAAATAAAAGTTACTGGATGCAAAACGTGGATTTCGCAAATAAATCTCCTTGAACAGTAGTTACCTATTATCGTTTGACATTTTATCAAAATCGGGTCACACAATAGATTTAATTCTAATAGAAAATCAATTAACTTATTTTAGGCAGGTATATATGCGATAACTGAGGCACAAAACACCAACGACGATATGATGGACGGGGGCACAATTAACATATAAATTTAAAAAAAAAACCTCTACAGACTTACGATTTGAGTGTATGCTTATTACTTAGGTACCTATCGGCAAAGTTTAAATATAATATCTCGATGTACCAAACAGTGACGTGCGGGGGGGGGGGGTTATAGTGTCATAACTCCCTCTTTTGGCTTATTTTTGCCATAAAATACGAGTATATGATAAAGCAACGAATGTGTATATAACGTGGTCCAAGAATAGTCAAAAATTCATATGCCCCCCCCCCCCTTTAAAAAAGCTGAGCACGCCACTGATACTGATAGAATAATATATACGATATACCTAATAGTAATGCATATGGGCAGTGTCTGGCAAATAAGGTTCGTCGTTTACACAGACGGATATCAAAATAATATAAACGTGTCGGCGTGGGTGGCGATATGATGATTACGTAATATTATATTCTTTGGCGCAAATGCGACGAATGCAGCGAATAGGCTGGAAAACCAAAATTATTTCAAATAATTTAACACGACTTGCGGTATTGCAGCGGGGACGACAAGACCTCACTTGTGCATAGGGGTCCACATAATTTAGGCGATTTGCGCCTATGCGATAGTAATATTAAATAGGTAGGTACATAATTATTGTAATAATATACCGTGCCCGTCCCACACAGGCTTGCGTATTGTGTTTTACGGTTATTATCCTATACATTCGTTGACACACGCGTCATACAATAATATTTTACCGAACGGTACCGGCCCGCTGTACACGACCCTAAGTATACCGAGTGATCCATTTAAAGCAAGACGACACTCGTTATTTTTTTTTTTTTTTAAAAAACCATTAACGTTATTTTTTTACACGGATTTTAAATCGTTTAAAAATGTATCCAACAGTTTTTGAAATACTCGAGTGGACCTTACATGCGTTAAATGGATCATCCGGTATGCACAACTCGTCAATGACGTTCAGAAGAAACCGGGATTGGTGTGCTCGATGATGCACCGCTTGCAGTACTTCTTCACGGCCTTGTATCCGTCGGCGGATATCTGACAGTCTTGTATGTTGAGCTGCTGCAGCCCGCGGCAGTAGTACGCGATCAGCTGTATGCCGCGGTCGGTGACCAGGTCGCAGTTGCGGAGGCTGAGCTTCTTCAAGTTGGGACAGCTCTCGGCCAACGCCCGAAGGCCGGCGTCGCTCACGTCGCACTTGCCGATGTCGAGCGCGCGGAGCCGGGCGCACGACCGCGCCAGCACGGTGATGGCGTCGTCGCTGACCGCCTCGCAGCCGCGCACGTTCAGGTACCGCAGCTTGTAGCACCGGCGCGCGATCACCTTCAGCCCGGCGTCACTCACCTGATCGCACTTGGCCACCGACAGGTATCGCAGCAGCGCGCCCAGTTTGGCCAGCTCGTACAGCCCGAAATCGGTCACCTGGTGGCAGTCCGACACGCTCAGCTCCTTCAGCGCCGAACAGAAACTCGGCACGAACTTGATACCGGCGTCTGGAAAAAAATATAAATGTCACGTGACGATAAAACAATATATAAACATATTTTAATATTATCTACATCACGATATATTGTTCAATATTTAAGTAAATATATAATGACGTCAGGTGATTTACCAAACATGCATGTTTACCCCCATAATTGTTCTCGAGTAAATGAATTTATTCGTATTCTGACTTATGGAACTTTAAGTATCTATAAACTATAACATTGCTATATTAGTAGTATTGTTGAAACAGAGCCTCCCTCCTCTGCTGTCGGTTAGGTTAACAGGAAAAAAAAATATGAGCACTTGTTCAATTATTCAGATTTTTTATAATACTTAAGGAGGGTTCAATGGCGATACATACTTAATTTTTTAATTTGGAAAAATATAGTCCTTAATAAGGTGCTGAAACTATACTTAAAAATTCCAATATTAAGAACTTGAATGAATTCATCATTAAAAAAAAAGGAGTGAGCACATTCTTGATGAATCACTTTGTATATATTATACTACTATATAGATGCGTGATACATAACAATATATCTATACGATAAATATTAATTATTGAAATATATGTAATGACAAATGACCGTAATGCATGTTTTTCGTTTGTCTGAGCAAGATTTATATACATTTGCATATTTTTCTACTTGAACATAATATTATGATATCGATGTTATTGAAATCCAAATCAAATACCGCCATGGCGTGTGGGATAAGTGGAAATTATATAGTATAAGCTCAAAAAATAAACAAAATTATAATGACAAACAATAGGCATTGTGTTTACGCGCTCCAAAAAATTAATGACGTATCATACCTATTGGCTATTAATTATTATTTATAATATGTCACTCTCTGGGAAGAAACGGTTTTAACCACGTAACGCATTATGTTACTTCGCCTAAGACCTAACGTACAGTATACGTTGACTGTTCAGTACTCACTATTGATATAATAGTATAATTACATAAATAGGTACAATCATAATTCATAATCTTCACAGCCAAGAGGAGAATCCTGAAGTAGGTATTGTATAAAAGTAGGTATAACCTATCTCCTTATAATATATATTATAGGTACATGTGCGGGGACCGTATTTGCCATTCAATTTGCATCGATTTATTTTTATTTTAGAATTGAAGAGGTGCTGCAATAAAATGGTTATAGTGCATATAATATAATGCATTATACCTATACATACACGTTCTTGGCAGATATAAAAAGCGTCTTAATGAATTAAAACCGGATCCACAGCTCAAGAATTCTTATTTGTGGAGTATTTACCCGAGTATGAACGCAATGCGAATAATTGGCATTCCACATTTTCCAGGACGAGACAAAATCTGAATGGAAAATGTTCTACCTTTCAACACAAAAGGATATATTGCCTACATAATATACGCTATGTTATAAATAAAAATATAAATAACTACAGACCGTAAAATATTATTCTATGATCATTGATCGATATCTTAACTCTGCAGTCTGCAGGTATATATTTAATTATTGGATTGGAATAAAAATAGTTTACAAATGTATAAGTATTAGGTAGGTACCCAAGTATAAAAATATAACACGTTCGGCTAGTCGTACAGCACGACTGCACTTATTAATTATCATAAATAATAAATATTGTGTGTAAATCTACAATAATATTATTGTAACAAGTAATTATAATTTATGTAATACAACTATTATAATTTATATTTATACAGTTATTATAACTAAAAGGATCAACAAAAATGCAAAATATACACTGTACCTATATCGTATATGTATACGTAAAGCACACAAAATATGGTACCAAAACTGTATACCCGTTTATGGCCATATTATTATATTATGCAGATGACTTGCGGATTAAATCAAACAATGATTTATTGTTTTATGCATTCACAGTCCATTTTGTCATTTTGACTACGTATAGTATCTATTGAATATTTTAATATTTGCTCGTTGCGTCATTACCTGTGACTTTAGTGCATCGCCGCAGGTACAAGTAGGCTAGTTGTGGACAATTACTAACGATCACACATAGGTTTGCATCGTCTACAAGCTGGCAATCAGTCAAGTCCAAATACTGCAGGCAAAGTCTCAACGATGGCTCCGGACGACTGTACACCCCAACGGTGCTCACCTTAACACAACCTAAAATAATAAATACATACGATTAAAAACAAATTATACCTACCTAAACTAATAATATTATAAATTAGACACGTTTACGCTTTATGTATAGAACTGTATAGAAAGCAGATTTGCATTTCTATTATTCAGTTATTCTGCATACATTGTTATTTGAGCAAGTTCCATTTATTCACTATAAATTAATTTAAGAAAATAATATTTCGACTGACTTTGATTTTTCATACATATACAGGTACTATGTTTATGTATGTCTTATGTTTATGCATAGGTATTTGTGAAGAAGTAATAAATACCTACATATAGCCATATAGGTAATATATAGAGCAAGGACTAAGGACTTTCATGCATTTGCATATTTTGTCTGGTTATCGTATGCTTAAAAGAACAAAATTCAATTCACGAAGCTTGTATTCAAATACTCTAAGCAAATAATAGTTATATATTTTGAAAATTTATCGAAAATCAAGCATTCAGTAAATATTTTTGATTAAACTGCATGATCATTTTGAATAAAGACAATTTTTTATCATAATGGTCCGTGGAAAGTTTAGATAATAATGTAGGACACAACAGAGTTTATCAAATCATTTTTACGTCATTTTCCTATTTTAAAATTTACCATTTAAAATTCCGGATATTAAGTAATAGATAATAAAAATATTAGGTATGGATAGTATTTACTTACTTATGTTAAGTTGTTTTTTACTATAATGGCATATACTCGTATTTTTTAAAAAACGTTGATGCCTATACGCGCATATTTTAAAATTTTTTCAATGATTTTTTTAGTGCATTAAAAATCCTTGCTCTAGTAACTTATACTACGAATTGTACCTATCTTGCACTCGTATATTTATATTATTTTAGATAAATATTTAACCATAGGCTGTATATAAGATTAGGTGTGAAAAATCGAAAAAGAAAATTATAATAATAAATAGTTAGTGTATTAAACTTCAAAATACCCTTAATTCTTCATTATATATTTTGGATAACACCACACAAACAATTTTTATAATAACGGTAAATTTGGTATTTCCGATTAACAATTTTTTGTCACACCCCCTCCCTAAATAAATTTTGTTAAGTCCCGGCCCTGTTTATAGTTTCATAGCTTATCATTATTTATATGTATGTATATTATGTACATGTTCATAGTCTTATACATTATATTATAACCTATAATATCGTATAATCTTGTGGGCGTATGACTATATTTCGGAAGTTTTCAAGTAGAATATAATCAAAATTTGACAACCTTACCTATTTTATAATAAGATATTTATAGCCTATAGGCTATAGGTACACCTTCCATGATCTGTAAGTCTATATAAGTATATAGGACATGGACATATTATGTAGGTACCTTATATGGTTTCCCATAAGACAAAATTGAAGAAAGATTAACTGCAGGATCCGTAAAGTATATGTACGGAATAATTTGTCGTACTTTACAATTTAACGAAAATATGCTTATACGCACAAAATAAATCAGCTGCATAAATAAAAAAAAACAATATTTTGTTTGTATACAAATGCGAATACAACAATCGTTTGGAAGTGTACTTTTATTTAAAAAAAATTAAATATTCACGTAGGCGAACCGAAAATACCAGGTATATTGTAAATAAATAATAATTTGCAAATATTTTGCATATTTGCATAATAGTCGGAAACTCGGATATATTATACAGATACCGCCTGACAGCCCTCTAAACAATATTCTCAGGGATATCATAACTCGAGACGACTGGAATCACCACGCCCTTTCATTTGCATTCTGCATTATAGTACATGTTATACGTTGTGTGTGACGTGTGTGTGTGCGTGTGCAAGTACGATGACGGGAACAACTACATTATTGTAATATAATAATTATTGTCGTTATATAGGAACCACCGCCGCCGCGCGCCAATGTGATTTGCATTGCTCACGGTCGGTTACACATTTCGATTTCTTGAAATGTTTGTATACCTACCTACACAATAATAATATTATAGATTACAGATATGAAATTTAGAGTCGTCACGAATAGAGGTGTAGGTACTCATCGAATGGTTAAAATTCAAGATTCACTGCGGTCGTCTCTGAACTTCTGGAGACTACGTCCAGCAGTGTTCCGGAAAAAAACGTACAAGCAAATTACTTTGCATAATATATATTATAATAAGTAATAAATGAGACGTACGCAAAATAAATGTGAAGTGTCATTTTTTTGTATTGCGATTTGTCATCACCATAATACACTAAATGCAGTCTCACCGGTAAGCCTTTTCCCGCGGTTAACTACTTTTATTTCTAAACAATAATTTTGAAACATGATTTTAGTAAAATGCGGTCTCAACGCTTGTTTTGTGTGAGTGAGGGTGGTACCTATATAACTTAAATGGTACAAGCATTTCAATACTTACGATATCATAAAATCAATTGTATTTGTATAGCATTAGGTGATGATTTATTTTTAAATGTTTCGGTAATTATTGGCTTATGATATGGTTATAAACTCTATAGAGTGTAGTGTATTATACCTACTATAGTCTGTAATACTGTACTAATTGTATTACACGATATCAGTACTAATTATTGCTATATTATTATATATATGTATATATATGTAGTATGTACACAAATACACAGATAATATGTAGTTAGTGCAGTACCTACTCAACATAAATTATATTAAAGGTCTGTAGCATTTTTGTGTCTAAATAAATTTATTGAAATATTTGGAAATAAGTTTTATTTTACGAAGTATTACAATAAAAATAATCATTTCATAATAATTTAATTTTAAAAAAATAAGTGGAGAATATTTGCCATTGAATGCTGAAACGTCCAATTCTCTACAAAAATAGCCGGAGAGTCTTAAATTCACTCAAAAGAAATGGGGTTTAAGTAAACTTAAACACTAGTAAATACAAGCTTATTATTTTAGTTAAAGAAAAGAGAGAAGACAAAAATTTTGTAGGAAATAAAAAATGTAATAAAAATTATTTGTACGAATTGAAGGAGATTGGAAATACTACAATAATGTTGAATTATTTTTCTTTGAAAACTTCATTATTATCTACATTTTTAAAATATTTATTTAATTTTGATGAGAACATTTTTTGTCACTATAGGTACATATTTCTGTTTTTTGTTGTTACACAATTGACTCCTTAGTTTTTTATGGTTGTTGAAATATTTTTGTTGGATCCATTAAACCATAAATGTATACATTGTAAAATTGTACTCATACTAATGTGAAATGTTTAATACACCAGATGTCTGTAAATAATTTACAAAACTGCTAAATATTCATTATTATGATATAATTGATGATTTATTACGGAAATCTACAAAGCAAAACCATACAATTCAAGGTCTACACTTTTTTAGTTCATCCGTTATGTAACAATTTATTTAATTTATCAATAGATATTAAGTCATTAAGATATCAATCTAAGGGAGGGAAGGGCTATAGCCCTGACTTGTCTGTAAAAAAAATTGTTGTAAGGGGTCTGCACACCCAATTTATAATTTTGCAACATAACTTAAGGAATGAACCATGGCGCTACTGCTGCTGTGTTTAATAATAAACTTAAGAAGCCACGTTTTACTATTAAAATGTATGATAATTTTTTTAATATTAGTAATATTTAGAAATAATAACTTATATATCTACGTAAATATTTTATCTTTGAAAAGTTGAGTTATTAATGTCCGTTAAGTTTAAAGTTATGGCAGGAGACGGGTAGTCTGAGACGGTATGGAACATAGCTGGGCGGGAATGCACGAATAGACACTGGACACTCAGTTTATATACGATAAAAACAAAATGAAAAAAAATCATTGTGATTTATGATAAATGAACGTTGCAAGGATACCGTTAACAATATTGTTACAGACTGTGTGTATGTGTGTGTGTGTGTGTGCTGCAGTACAGCATACTAGGCGCAGCCGTGCGCAGGTTACTATAATATAAGGTAGGTACTTAAATATAATATTATACAATATTATTCGATGGTTTATACCACATAAAACAATAATGCGCCTATAATGTCAATTGTCAGTGCAATTGTATGGGTCATATGGGCAATGGCTGTATGCACTACGGCACTCAAGCACTGTATAAAATAGCTGCAGCATCGGGCGTCGGCGCGACAACATTATAACGACAATTTATATACCTAATATAAACATATACTATATTTTCCGAGACATACCTATAAACTTCGAAGGAGCTACGGCGAGTGACGATATAATTTCCGGAACGAAACGACGGAATTAATATCGATGTACGAATACGTATAGGTACGACGTGATATCGTATATATATTTTATGACTATACAGTATATTATCTGCTATAATACGGCCGTCCTTAAAACCGTCGTCTGAGGGAAGCCAAGGCGGTGTACATATTTTGAGTAGGTACACTTAGGTATAAACCTATTGTTGTAAACGTTACCAATTCGAATTGTGTTTTTAACTTGGTAAATAGGTATTTGTGCAGCAATGTGATTGGTACTTTTATAATAGACGATCATAGTAGGGACATCGAAATTCTCGACAGGTGGCAGGGTTGTGCAGATTTTTCTTTTATTTCACGTGTCCGTATTTTAAACATTTATCCAATTATAATATATCTAATGTCCACATGTATTCAGCTCCAGGATAACTGCAGCTGCTTAACCCACTCGGCTACAAACCAATTACTTAAGAATTTTTTGGCTATATTCCGATAGATCCTGAAATTAATCATTTACCAATGGCAGTAGGACGTAGGTACCAAGACGAATTATGTGTTATCGTCTAACGAACAATTTTTTATTAGTAGACCGGGAGAATTCAGTTTTAATATATTATTAATAATTATACTATATAATTTATAAGTTACATAACATTATGTTTTTTTAAGCAAAACAAACATTTATCTTTTTGGTTAAGCTGTTTTGGCACTAAATGAAAACTATGAACCTTGTACATACCGCATACATAAACACATACATACGTACATACATATTATATACATACACACATACATACATACATACATACATACATACATACATACATATACATATATACATATATAATACTCGCTGAAAGCACATGACCATCGCTAAATTCTAAACGACTTCAACGCGAGCCGCGTCCATATTACATAAAATATATATAGTACCTACTACCTATGTTGTATAGATAGGTAGGGTACTGGTCAATAACGAATTCCACGTGCGAGCGTTATTCGCCGTACGAGCTGTATATACCAGGATAATCTCGGTATAGGTAACGACCGGTAAGATAAACACGCGCTCAGGATAAAATAAAGAATAGAAAAAAAAGCGTCCTAATGCGGCGGTGGAAGGACATTTTTCTCTTTGGGCAGTGGGCACACAGCGAGACATCACCGCGGTGGAGGAGAATTTATATATACAATTTATATACACGTACAATGCACCAATACCTATATAATACATACATATATATGCCATATGCGAGTACATGTGTGTGTGTGTGTGTGTGTGTGTGTGTGTGTGTGTGTGTGTGTGTGTGTGTGTGTGTGGTTTTCTACGAAATCGATCCGCAGAGAATATAGCATTGTACAGTCGGTAAGTATAATATATAATAATACAATAATATTATATATTGTGCGTATCTAGTATATATGTATGTAACTGAGTGTATATGTGTGTGTGTGTTGTATGTGTAGCTGTCCGCACGTCTAGAAGAGTCCTTGGCCGCGATCGGCAGAGCCGTATTATGTATTATATAAATTATAATCATTTGTCAATGACCAGCCGAATGTTTATACCTCTGCAGTTCTTCTCGAGTTTAATTACCGAATGACATTTTGAGAAAATGTATAATATATTATGTTTATATATTTTTTATAATTTATATTTATGTACGCGTGATGGATATAATAGTATATTATGTTCACAGCGACACAGCGTTAAAAGTTACCTACCTATGTCATTAATTATTGTGTATTTAGCTGTGACTATATTTTGTTAGTTTTTTTATTATATTATTATTATTTTAATAACGTTGTAAACATTTATCAGAAAAACCAACAACTATAATAGAATAATATTATACACGTTTTATAAAACCAATTATTTTATACAATTTGTATACTCGACGGGTTTTTCAGCTAATTTTTAATCTTATACGATTTCATTTGATATAATATGTAACGTATACATTTTATGCGCATGATACATCTATATATTATACTATGCCTTGTATATAAGAATATATTAATGAAGACGAGGCCGTATTTAGGAATTTTGCGCCCGGCGGCAATCGTAACTGTAAATAATTGTCACCCCTATTAATCCCACTAGAAGACCTAATTATTGCGATGCCTGTCTATTCGTCTATTTTATTATATTTCATTAATATATATTATAGGTCTGCATCTCCGTTAACACTATATTATAGTTCCTCATTTATGATCATGATATATTCATAAATACATGTATACTATGTATATTTTTCGTTTGTAAATTTACCTTAACTTTTATATTATTGTATCTTAGGCTTATATTAGGTATAGAGAGGGTAATTTTAGAAATAGTTAAATTAAATATTTGCAAAATGCATTAGATCTAGTCACACGATGAATAATTCATTTATTTTCATGTACCTACCTACTGCATTTTAACCGTAAATTACTACCACACCATATTAATTTCCCACTGTACAAAACGCAGCCTAAATTATGGTCATGTTTATTCAAATATAATATATAATATTATAATATTGTTTAATTCAAGCAAAACATACGTTGAACAACATTTTATTATTTTAACAACACACTTCTTTGTCTGTAAACAACTCGTATACAAATTTAAGTATTTTTTACCTTCTACGAATAAATTCAAGTATAATACACCTGTACTGACACACGAACAGTAATCAATTTATTTAAGAACGCATATGATAAGAGTATACTAAAAGTCTAAAACCTATAAGAGATGTCAGATGACCTATACCTTTAGGCGTGCCTGCATACCCGAAAAAAATCCTTAGGCCCTAAAATTGTACAACAACAAGGTACCAGCTATAAGCCCTAAAGAAACCCTATAAATGTCTTGAAATCACTCAAGAAACGCCCATAAATTAATGTCTGCGCACGTCCACTCACTCGGCATGTCTACGTACATACCATACTATTACCACCCAACGCTGCAGCTTAAAATCGAATACGAGATTTCATATCTTAATATTATAACATTTATCTATATTATATACGAAAACGATTGGCAGGAAATAACTTATACCGATGGTCGATACCACAATAATAAATGATTTCCATTATACGTTTCGAAAAAAAGCAACAAATGTTATGCCATCTGCAGTATATAATCTATAGGTACATAATAAATATATATACATATTATATATGTTGTAAATACTTCCTACACAGTTCACAGACACACAGGTTATAACTTACTCATGTTGATTGATGATGGACGATGGACGATGGTTATATAGGTACTTATACAATATTAGGATAAGGGGGAGGTGGCAAAACAATATTTTTACATTTTTTAAATACTTGCATAGACTGTTTAAGTTCATAAATTTAATATTTTTGATTTACAATTCCAAGTTTTGAAAAAATATTGTTCACCACTAAAGCAAAAATTGCAACCCATTAGGACAGTTTAAACAAAAAATTATCATTTTTATATAAAATTGTTAATTTTTAATATATAATTATCAGTTGGTTTTAATATTTTTACTAGTATGATTGGTATCAAACAATATTGTTTCGTAGTGTATATAGTTCGACACAAACAACAAATGATTTTATCGACGTTACTCTATCAAATTATATCATGATTATTTAAGGTATTATGCTAGTACTGGTATATACAGTATATACTATATACACATGCACGAACACGATGCACGATACATAGTTCTATAAGTATTCTAAACGCATGGTGCCTTTGACTTTCAACCCATCAAAGCGGTGGTCACACAGCTATTACCTATTCCAAGAGTATGGAGGACTTTAGGTTAGGTTTTTAGAACCTCACTATATAGAAATTGCGCACTGGAAGGCAAGTTCAGAAAGTTGGAGCCGAAACATACATCGACGAAACCCTCTGACCACTGATGTGCTACTTTAATCCCCCGCAGTTCGGCCGTTTTAAGCACAGCCGAGGCGATTGACCACCTGCCAACATTAATTTTTTACTTTAACTCTCGGCGAGCGCTGATAACAGAAATTTTTCTGGTCAGTCATTTTTATGTCAAAATGGTGTACCCAATTGGAGATCGCACCATATTTGTGTCCTCAAGTGCTTAATGTCAGTCAGCAGTTTTCACACGTTCGTTCGCAAGTGCATATTACAATAAAAATGTTGTGCAGTAGATAAAGAGTATTGATCACCCCTGGACCAACATAATGAACATTTCCCGAGGAAAACTCACAAGTCGCTTATCGGCGCGGCAGGCATATTATAATATCACGTAAAATATCATACACTGTTCTATAGGTCAAAGTAGGGCGCCAAGTCAAAATTATTACAAATTACAATTTACTTTATATGTATATTTAAATTTAAATTATCACCTATATGTATAGATATTAATTTAAGGCTTGGAAAATCGTAGGAAAACCTTGGTAAAGTAATCGCGTGACGATTTAAAATATGTGTGCGTTCCCTGAACATATTCTATAGTAGGTATAATAAATGGTACCGCTTACCGGTGACGTCCAAGTGCTGCAGGTTGGGGCAGCGGGCGACCAACTCGGATATGGCCGCGTTGGTGATGTTCGGACTGCCGTGGAGCTGGACGTGCGTGAGCTCGGGACACCGCCTAGCCAAGGCCGTCAATCCCTTGTCGGAAATCTTGGTGCCGTCGCTGAGGAACAGTCTCTGCACCTCGGGACACGCGCCCGTCCTGGTGCGGCCGCACAGTCGGCGCAACACGCACCTGACCGCCTTGTCGCCGCAGGTGTTCTCGCCGCACAGCGCGATCGTCCGCCACAGGACGGGCTCCCACGCGAGGTTCTCCCATCTGTGGCACACGGCCGCGCACGCGCAAAGGTCCGCGCTGTTGAGGTACGAGAATACCTTGAGCACCAGCTCATCTCGGAGCCGATCGAAGTTCGAACCGATGACAGTCCGCGACTGTGACCGCCGATGCTTGGTGGCTGTAGAGTGCAGTGGCAGATTGGCGCAATCGCCGACACCGCCGCCGGTCACTAACGTGTGGTAACCTTGGTCTAAACACGGCGAGCTACACCGTAACGTCGGGCTGTATGTGAAGCTAGTCTCGGCTTCTAGCACCGTGTAAGGGTGGTGGAACGGCACATTCCGAACGGAGGGTGTAAACTCCAGAGAACCGGGAGACGACCGTCCCAGCTTTGCTAGCGGGCATATTACAGGCGACAAACGGCCCGCGTGCGTCATACTTCACTCTCGACGATCGCCTGTAAAAATTTAATGATTTAATTTGGAGTTAGTTACTTTTTTTTATCTCAATTTTATACGGATCCTTTTGTTTTATTTTTTTTCAAATACACAAAAAATATGTCCAAACGTTGTTCAGTATATAATATATTACAGTAATTATTGCAAAAGCTGTTCTTCGACTAGATATACTTGTGTATAAACTGTGTACCGCAAAGTGTCCCCACACGAAGATTTATTGATTGATATTCATTATGGGGTATTGATAGTTTGCATTATATAGGTTAGGCTAGGTCAGGTTAGGTGTCTACTGTACAATATGATACGATAAAATAATATTTTTGAGAGCAATGAGTTTTGTCTTAAACATATTTATTTATCAAATTCAATTGAGCGTAAGACAAGGCTGACTGTTATTTTATTTCATAACTTGTATGAAAACAACCTTAGCACCTTAGCTAGATCTTAAAACAATTCAAACGTGCTTAATTGAATTGAACAATGGACATAACATTTTAATGAAAATCGAATTACATATGGTTATGAGAGATATTTTATCCATATACAGTATACACTTAAAATATGTTAGTATGCACATTGAGCGGTTCATCTTGACCGTCGTGCATCAGTAAAAATAACAATATTATATTATTGACGGATGAGAAACACAATATGAAAAATTTTAAATGCCGATAACACCCAACTGACCAGATGAATTGCAAGCATGCGTGATGCGTTAGGGCGTTAGGTAAGCAAATCTTCCTTACATGTTGATAGTTATATAAGTAGTTATAGATCATCTTTATAGGTAGGTACTTATATAATTTATACGAGTTTATACTTAAAAATTATAATGTTATAACGCTTATAATTATAACTGCGGAGAGAGGGAACAACGATGATTTACTAATTTAAAACAGCGGGGACAAAGAGGAAATAAAAATAATATAGACCATCCTTTTAAAATTAGTTACGCTTTAAAATAGTAGCAGATATTAAAATAATTTAATGATAAGCTAATAAACTCTGGTTTATCTTTAGTGACGTGTGATTAAATATTTAATTATACATTAATAATAATGCATTATAATGTGGCGTGGTCTATAATGTACTGCAGTAAACACTAACTTTTTCTATATTTCTTTCTGAATTTAAAAATATTATTACTTTTCAAGTATATTTTCTTTCTTTAGTTCATCATAACAATAAGTTAAACTTGGTTATTTTAAATAAATACCTGTACAAAATATTGGTACGGAGACTGACCACGTCATAAAGAATTCTTATAAGTATGCACAACAACGATCGTGCTTACATATTATAAAGTAACTCAACAGTTGTTAGATCTCGTAAATCATTTGTCTTTCTTACAGATAGATCATAGTTTAAATATATTATATTATCATAAATTTACATGTAAAATGTATTTGACTGTCAAAATATAAAAATATATGATTTCCAAATATTTCAAAACCTTTCCAACAAAATATTTGTGGTTGGTTCTCATTAACTTTATTATATTCAAGTCAATATATGTTTATCAATCACTGTATTCTCTAGAATTTAATTTTTAACTTTTTATTTTTAATGTATGCCTAAATAATAGTTTATCAAAAAGTAAAATAAGAAATTATAAAAATCGAAATCTATAATAAAATATTTATCTATATCTATGATTTATTATAAATGTATGATAAAACCTTTACTGAAAAAGTTTAATTTAAAAATAATAAGAATATTAAGTGTAATTTTTTATTGATCTAATATCATAGGTTTATAATTATAAGTAGCCAAGTAGGTATATTAAAATTAATAATTGGTAATTACCCTCTATAATTATAATTACTAATTCTAGACAATCTTCTAAATCTAGTGCTTTTGAGTAAGTACTCAGTATATACACAAATATTATAATTAAATAAATTGTTTAACATGAATCAAAATTCAAAGTCGATATTAATTTCTAAACAGTTATACGTTTTATTGCCTTATTCAGAGTTTAGGTATTCAAATCCTTTCACTCCACAGGGCATAGGTCCATCACAGTTTTATCTTACATTCCATCAAATCTTCAAATCGATTTATTAATTTCCATCGGTTTCTTTATAAGTATCATTTATACCACATTAGTACATTATAATATAGTCATTACCAAGTAATAATTATATAGAATTAGAATTATTCTTATTTCTGATGACAAACTAATAGTTTAACTGTTCCATAAAAATAATAAAATTACCTATCAGTATCTATATCCCTAAACGGTCTCAATGATTAGTTATACCTAATACATTAGTATTATTAGTTTGATACAATATTAAGTATAATGATCATCGCTGTATAGACTATAGATATGATAGGATTTATGTTTATTTAATTGTCGTGTGGTGTCTGCTATCTATTGTCTTTTATAAATATATATGCGAATATGTGATCTCTGATCAATAATAAGTAATAACTAATAACTAATAATTATGGTGATACACTAGCAAGTAACACACCTACAAGGTTACAACAGTCAATAGTATTTAGCTTGTGGGTGGATATCAGAAAAAAGTAGAACAAATTTTGCATACAATAAAAATAACATGAAAAACGTGGTAGATGGTAAAATTGAGATTGATTGTTTAATAAGAAATATTGCGAACGGGTTTTCTTCTTTTTTTCCATCCTCGTCGTCGTGACTACGGCGATCGTGGCAAAGCGACTCATGTATAATATCATGAGTATGTGCCACCGGAGGCAACTCGGTCTAATGAGAGCCAACCACAAGGGAGTAAACCAAAAGAATGCAGGTGCCTAAAGGCCAAACCGATTTTTCGCCAGGTTCAAAGATCTCTACCAATACAAAACTCGACAAAAAAACACATATGTCTATACGATAGCGGTTTCTTTATTAATTACTGCTCATGAAACAAAATAATAAACCATCGTGTGGACAATAGTGATGAAGTCTATCCTTGGAATTGTTTTTTTTTTTTTAATAATCAATTAAAGCTTCGATAAATGATATATAATATTTGTTTATTAGTTACCCCCGTGTTTTACAACAATATTCTAAATTTAAACTTAAAAATATTCGAGGAGTATTATAATTAGAACATACTATTATTATTTTTACTTTTTATTTCAATATAATACTTTATTCATACAAATACTTAATACAAAAGCATCTATACAAGTAACTACTTATTTTTACACACTTGTAATAAGCACAGACCCACAGTACCTATGATATAGCTATTACAAAGTGGGTTATATAAAATTGGTATTTAGTAATACGTTATAATTTATAATATATGCTAGATATCTAAGTAATATGTATATAATTTATGCTTATATTATTTAAACTATATTATATTTTAATTTATTACCCTCTTATTTTTACGTAATGCAAATTACAAAATAAATAATATTTAAGAATTTAGTAATGACTTTGATCGTTGATTGCAATAAATTATCAAATACAATTGTACACAAAATATTGTTTAGTTACAGCAATAATATTCTACTGGCATTATTGTATGAATTTTATTATTATCATTATAATGAATATAAACGTAATTTATATTATTAAAATAAACTTGAGGCTTGAAATTAAACAGTTAAACTACCAAAAAAAAAAATTGCATGAACTATTTTATAGATATTCACTAGATAGAAATAGTAATATTGAAATGTATTATCCTTAGTTGAGCTATTTTAGACAACTACATGTATAAGCAGTCAAATATATATTAAAAGAATATCAAGAAATAAATATCAGCATATACTGTTTACTTTAATTTATGCAAAATACAAACTAAGCATATAATTATTATATTATTATAGCTAGTAGCATTGAGTTTCTTTAAAATTAGAAAAGTCAAAATAAACGCCTCAATATTTGCGATCTTTGAAAAATACAAATAATTTATTTTAATAAAACGAATAACAAAATGTACTTCTTTTTTAGAAAGTAATTTTAATACCAATCAATTAAATATTTATTATTGTAATTTATTAATTTTAAGTATGTAATTTTTAAATAGCATATATTCAAACTTGTAAAAGTTATATAGTTGAAACTGTAGTATTGGATAAATTTTGGGCAGGGTTATTAATATGTAAGGTTCATCAATCATGTAAAGTTGGAAGAAGTTTTTACTTTTGTATTAAACTTGTATAAAGAATGCTTACGAAACCTTATTTTAATGCATTCCATGAATTAATAACAATAGAATAGGCACCCATAGCTTGAATTAAAAATCAATTTTCTTATATTGTATTTTAATGCTCTTAAAAAATTTTTATACGTCATATTTCTCCAATATAATATTTCTATGAGAAGAATTGGATCAAGATCAAGATCTCTTGCTTACTCCAGCTTACGAATATGCGTTCATTTTAAACATATATAGCATTATTCTAGACCTATCATGACACCACTGCTTAACAAAATATGTGTACTATAACTATTATAATATTATTCTGTACATAATGCGCAGTGTGTTATTAAGTATGCAAATGGACTTTACAACTATGAAACATTGACATGATGACTTGGTTGAGATTCAGATCAAACATGCTACTATTCTGATAGTAAGCCGACATATATCCTTAGTCTTCTGTCACTCCTCACTCAAATTCTAATAAAAAAAAAATATGAACAAGTAGTTTTTTTAATAAAAATAACCGTAGGCCTTACAATAATAGTAACTTCTTACATGAAAAGTCATGAGGATTTAATAAAAATATATAAATATATGTATATAATAAGATTATTATTTTATTTTTAATTCGATTACATTTTTGACACGCAAAGTGAATTTTAAGTAGAAAATAGTTCACAAAATTCAAAATTATTTATGTATTCATTTATTGGACTCTAAGTTAATCCATCCAAATATATGGTAATAATTATAGCCAGTGGCTAAAATGTCAACATTTCATAGTAATTGTCTAGTATTAAAAAATATAAACATTTCAAACGAAATAGTTGAAGAACTATTAACAATCGTTTTTTAAAAAAGTTTCTTAAAGATTTATCCTCGTTTATTAATACAAAAAAAAAAAAACAACTGGTATTCAATATGATAAGTGGCGTGTAAATTATCAAACCAGATTTTCATATGCAATTCAACTCTTTGTCAGAAAAATTATGTATAGGTACTCTTTTACTTATTACAAATGTATTTGAATTTAGACATCATTTTTAGTTTTCATAAAATAAAATGTATATTATTATTTTATCAAATTAAATCTATCAAATTATTTAAAACTGTTTTTAGTTTATTTATATATTTTTATTGCATATTTTCATACTTGAAGATTCGCTTTCTCTCTCACAGAAAAAAAGTGGTGGGTGAACCGGCTTCTTAATAAATCACACAAGCACACGCACACTAATAAAACTTCTGCTTTCTAGTTCCAACATTCTATAATACTTAACCTAAATTCCTTACATGTTCTACAACAACTAAATTCTTTATATAATTTTATTTCCTCGAATCTTCATTTTTATACGATCATATTATACATATATGTATAATAATTGTATATAAATTTATTTATTATTATTTATTTTGTTTAACATCTCGAGGTAGAATGTTTTTACGTTTACCTTTATGACAAAACCATGTATGGTCGGAATTCCGCAGACTAGGAATTTGTCGGAAAGTCGGTATTAAAAGCGTTTAGAAAAAAAATACATCAGAAAAAATACCTAATAATAGTTACCTACCTATAATTCGAATAAAGAAAACGAAAAACAACAATGACGCGTAGACACAGTTGATTTTGAATTGAATAAGAGAGAAAAACTTATGGGCCATTTAAAGAATTGCATCGCATTCCTATTTTGGTGGTCCACTGTGAAGTTTGGGTACATGAAAACGTAATTTACCATATGTGGCTACTAGTTGCACATTAGTAATCGCAATGCTGTTAAGTAACAAGTCACTTTTATGTGCGAATGTGTAAGTTTGTGTGTGTGCGCGAGTGTGTGTGCGCGCGCGCGCACGAGTGTGCGTGTGTATAAACTGGTTATTTACTTAAAACATGTCAAGATTTTTTTGAGTTCAATGGTCGTGAGCACACGTACACTCGATGGAAAATGCCCGGTCGATAGCAAATTAATGGATGAATATATTATGAGAGAGTAATTAATGCGCAACGGGTAAAGATTGGATTTTTATTATGTGTCGCGGGACAGACGGAGTTAAAAATTACGGCTACTGGATTGCAATAAACTAGTTAACTATATACAGAAGATAATGTACGAAACATGTGAATGAACGTGAGTTTCCTATTCTCAAAGGAATACCCGATTGCCCGTATAGTTGCAGTCACGACTTCAAGTAGAGCAATTATTGCTTTTTAGTGACATTTAAATGGTATTATATAGGATCACAAGAAACATCCTCACAATAAAATAATATTAATATTTTAATACGTGTTATAATTTATAATAGTACATTTAGATACTAAAAGAAAAATCTATAAAATTGAGAGTAAAAATGAAATAACAGTTGCATAACTATCCAGTACCTTTATATATGATATACTATAAATATTTGATAATACTATAATAGCTATATATGTATTATACCTACCTATATATTACACTATACATAATTATTGTAACATAACATGGTTGGCTGAACATTTGTGACTAATACGGAAGACATGTGCGAGACTAATCCAAGATCCCTTCTTTTAAAGAATTTTTTTTTTTCGTTTCTCTTGTTCCCAAGTAAGTATAGATACCCCGGCGGCAAGCACCTGCAGGTATCACATACTTGTTCACCGTTTCAAACAAATTGAGTTTTTACGCTGTTTTCAATTGTTCTCCTCAATTATGAAGTTCTACGTCTGAAGCTTCATCTCATTATTAACCGTGAAGTTAAGAAAAAAAATGAAAAACAGACATTGTTACGACTTATACCGGATGTTGTATTAACGATTAAAATATTTCGTGAAGATGTATACATATTTTTTACAGTTTAAGTACCCATACTAAGTAATCGATATGCATAGCGATGATATATTATAATTTAAGTATAATATATATAGGACATAGGTTGTACTTGATATAAACAAATTAATAGATTAATGTGACTATTGAAACATTTGAAACTACCTAGTATCTAAGTATATTAAATTAAAATTTATAAACATTTTTTATAAGAATTTAATTAGTTACAGAATATCAAATTCAAATACTAAGCATTCAGTCAAGGTATTTAAACTATAGAATGTATACATGTAGTATTATAAATATTAATTCTTGTATTTTGAACATATTCTTAAATGTTTGTGTTTTGTATTCCTACTTAAGCTCGTCCAGTGTCGTCAATGCCGTGGGAAATACAAGTTAAAGAATGGAAGAAATATTCGGTTTTTTGCACAACGTAGGTATATCTGACATATTCGAAATCATACAGTTCTTTCGAGTGGGGTTCTTAGTGAATCGAATGAATTCTGGCTGACAAGTTTCTTTATGTTGTACCACTATGTACGGCAAGAACAGAATGCGTTCGTCATTTCATTCATACGGCTGTTTTTTTTTATGGTGCTGGGACAGACTTTACATATTATTTCCGATGTTACCAAAAGAAAAGTGACAAGCTGTACAACTTGGGAGGTTTACACATTATATTTTATTGTTATTTAATCTCTGGAAATATTGTCATTTATTATATAAGTCATAGATGTAAATGTGTTTACTTTATGTTTATACTTATATAATAGGTATATAACATAATAATTAATAACTGCACGATTTATTTAAGAATTGAGAAAACGTATACGAAATTGTATCGTTTAATATTTATTTTTAAAAATTATTATTCTCGATTTCGGTTATGTAAAGGTTAAAAAATCATAATTGATCACAAAAATACATGAAATTATTTGACATTTATTAGTAAATTTTGGCAAAAAAATTAATAAGGAATCGCCTACACAACACACATAACAATGGTTCTTTTATATTTCTCAAACTCCTCCTTTCCTCCAAGCGATTTGCTCTTCTCATTAACTCATTGGAATACCTAAGACCACCCAAACTACAAATCACAGTGTGTCAAGATAACATCTACCTACGTATGTACGTTCAATGTGCGCCAAATTAATCGGAGCAGTATAATAAATTAATAATAACATAAAGTCGTAAAATACTAAAAAATAAAGTTTTAACACAATGTAAAACACCCGAAGGGAATGCGTTCACAATGTAATAGCAACATGTTCTTTCTTTTTTTTTTTATGTTTGTCGTTATTATTTAAAGTGTTGCTCGTGCAGAGATTCAAAAGATAGAGCGGTCATCCTACGCAGAACTACAGGAGCGATCGGTATCGTGCGGTGAGTCGAACTCTATGGTTGTAAAAATTTCCGTTCTCATATATAGTTTTCAGATTATAAGCGGTTGAACGTATATTCCAGCGATGCGTAAAACTTGCATAGATCAGCTGCAGTCTCTGGCACGCTATTACGGTACACTAACTCCTATATATGCTATATATTTATAGGATGAGTTAGCCAAGTCCCGATCATGGCAATGCATGTGGTATCATAGAAATTTATCAATGAGCATTTGTTCTCGACTTGTCAGAACTCACAAGTAAGATGATCTATATTGTGATAACTGTAAAAAGTTGTGTTCCGGCATGGATAGGAATAAATGACATGGAACTTCATACAGTGGTTAATCTTCACCTTTAAATATTATATAATAAAGTAGACAACACTGTGTATAGGTACCTGTATTGTTTTAATCACATCGTGATGTTATGAACCAGTCTCCGATTCAGAAACAATTTATTATATGAATATGTACGAAACTGATGAACATATTATAATTTTTGCTATAATTTTTAATATTATAACCTAACCAAAGTTTTTTCTTATAAATTAATTAATGAAGTGTATAATTATTATTGTTAGATCATGTCAAGATCGTGATTCTCCTACCCCATAGAAACAAAAAAGAAATAGGCACTAACATGAAAGCTAGGGTAAAGAGGGTATTTGCAACAACTTTGTGAAAAACCTTGAAATGACTCAAACGCCTCACCGAAAAACTGGGACATAGAATACTGTTAAATGGATAAAATGATGAGGATAAGTATGACATATGTATACATAAATACAATAAACATTAATTTCTTTATGGCACTTATGGATTTATCAAAGCAAAAATAATGAATAAACTGTCGCTAACACCGAAATAAATGAAGCGAATAATAATTAATTGCATATTAGACAAATTAGTATGGGTAGTCAATTCGTTTTAAAAGATATTCATTCTATACAATACACTGGCCAGCGTACTTTTTGCAGTGATGGCTTATACAGAAGGTTTAGTATGCCACATGCATGGTCAAGTTTGCATTTACGGAATAGTGTTGTTCCGGATACATCTAACAACGGTGAAACAGACCTGGATAATGGAATAAGAAATAAGAAATAGGTACAAAGACATTGCAACGAGATGGAGTGACGTTTGGCGATAAATCGATCAAAAGCCAAAGACACGACATTCACTGTTACCTCACCAGGTCTCATCTGCATTCAGTTTATATTACTCGAGTCTTGAGCATCCGGTTTTTACGCCCATGCGTATAGTTATAGGTAAATAATTGTGGAGGTGATCGTAATATTGATTATAATTTAGTATATAAATATATATTAAATGATTACCTGATTGGCGCTAGACATCTGGGTAATCAATCACACATCCGTACAATTCCAATTGTCCATTGCAATATATATTATAATAGGAATTTATTGTAATCTAAAAATAAAATAAAAACAAGTGTAAAAATTAATTACTAAACAGGATTTACAATTGGATTTGAAGTACTCGTACTTGTTACTATATAATTTATAGCCAATAAAATATACTCGATTGTCCTACGCAATGTATACATAAATAAACAGAAATTGCCATATTATTTATTGATATTTCTCTTGTATTATCCTTTAATACACGTTTTTCATTCATAATATTATTTATATCTGTTCAATTACAACTGACATTGTGATTGGACAATATTATAAAAGTAGAACTATTTTTAAGAACACAAATTTCAAAATACTCTTAGTTGTTTTAAAAAAATGTTTTGTCATTAACTCTTATAAAATGTGATACACAATACCTACAATATTAGAATATGTATATTGACACATTGTATACTTGGAAATTTAATTTTTACTTTTTTCAAATTCTCAAATGTTTATAAATTATAATCAACCGTCATTCAAGTTGTAACAGACCATTACCTATAATCTATATTAACATTGCTATAAAGAAACACCGCATTATTATAACACGGTCAGCAGACGCGCCTGAATATTTGCATATCTTATGGCCCTACGTCCACAGTATTAATTTATCACAACAACCTGTACTTGACTAATAATTAGACCTTTAGGATTCGAGATATTTATCTGTACATTTTTCTCTCTCGCATACACACGCACGCGTACACACATACACACACACACACACACACACACATACACCATTATCTTGTAAATCCAGGGGCCGCACGACGAGTATAATAAATCATAATTATAATTCGTACGCCATATCATTATTCAATTATACAAAATACGGTTGACAAGAAGAAAAATGTTTTTAAAACTATCAGGAATAGAAAATACTTTTTTCAGCGTTCAGATGTATAGTACTACAGTAGTCTGTAGTAGGTACTAATATAATACCTATATATTATTTAGTACATTTCATAATTTTATAGATCATTTTTTTTTGTTTTATATAACAAAAGATTAAAAATATAAAAAACACCAAAAATTATTCCGAAGAAGAGGATGTGTACGGAATGAAGGTAGTGGGGGAATGGAGATCAGGCGAAAATGTTGTTTGGGTGCAGTGGCATTCCATAGGTTAAAATGACGGGCTGCCCACGGGTGTGAGTGTGTGCATGTGTGTGTGTGTGTGTGTGTGTGTGTGTAGTGTGTAAGCGTGAGTGCGCGCGCGTTGCGTGTGAGTACGTGCGTGCGCTCGTGAATGTTGGAATGATGGATTATTTTATGCGCGTATGCACATACATATGAGCATACAACAGCAGGCCTTCCCGCGATCCGATCTCGACACTAGGAGCTTCGGGCTATCAAAACATAAATACACGCTTGGGTTCTGATTTTTATTTCTACTTCTCTCACTTTGTATTAATAATAATAATAATAATAATAATAATAATATGGTTTTCATCTGGATTTTTTATTCGAATATAAAACCGGTGCAAATAAATTTAGGGGACGATGCTCAAGAAAAAAAAAACACGTCCGTATATTTTATTTCTTACACGAATTAAGAACTAGTATTGAAAACATTAAAACCTTATGTAAGACTATGTATTGTCATTTTTTAGGTATCTATTATTAATGTGTAATATATAATACATATATATATAGTATATACAATATACAAATACGAAAAACAAGAACATATTGAAATCATATGTTCATAGTCACTTTTTCAAATTTGAATAATTTATCTTAAAATAAAACAATTGGTGACATTAGCACAGTCACCATTATATTTTGTTCGATGCTATTTAGGTACGGAGATTTATAATACCCAAAATAAGATTAAAAAAATTAAATTAAAAAACATCACTAATTCATCGACAAATGCACCGTATTTATGTTTATCTTTGAGCTTTGGGTATGTCCTGTGTATAGAACAAGATATTTTTTCATTATTCGTACTTTTCTGTTTACTCTACTAAAATACAATATTTAAATGATAAGTGTACAGTTTTATTGTTCATCCTTTGCCGTTAAGTATTCATACTAATTACTAAGTACCTATATTTTATACTATTAAAAATTGAATAGACAATATTTTATTTTTAAGCAATTTTTTTCGGGGGGGGGGAGGCCTTTCTGAAATTTAAGTTGTTTTTATTATGCTTACTTTTACTTTTAAAAACTTTTAGTATAAATGAGTATTAAATCAACAAGTATTTATTGAAATATTTAAGAAGTCAGTGCTTAGTATTTGTTTTTATATCAAGCATAATTTCAGGAGCGTAGTCAGTAAATGGCTGCTTCTCACCTCAAGCCACCAAATTTAAATTATGTACTTCCAAACCTATTTTATGTTAATAAACAAAATGTTACTATTTTGTTACTAAAATAAAAAAATGTCATAGTAATATAATCATGTGCTAAGGTAGGTCAATCGATTTATCTAGTAAAATTTAATTCGTAAATGTGCGTTAGGTGCATTACATGTTAAAATCTAAGGTCAAAACAAAATTATAGGGTTTAAAAATGTTTATTAAAGGTTATTTCTACAAAACAATTTTTCGTCTTTCTTAATTATATAACTCTACAAAATCTTAATTCTGGTAAAAAGTAATACAAGTTATCATGTTACTCCTGCGCCTATATATAGCGTAACATATAGGGTGTACACTGTACGCGTATTATACAAACAGTTAGGAAGTAAATTATGTGATTCGTATTGTTCATTGACAATTATTTTAATTATATACATTTATCGAACAACAGTCAACAGAAAAATGGGGACTGACACTTTGTTATGAACACATACATAAATGTGAAAATTATTTACTTTTTCTGGAATATATTAGAAAACTTGAATTAAAATAATATGCATATTATAAGTTATTTTTTGTTTGAAAACCCAATTTTGCAAAATCTGAACTTAATATTTTTTTTTAAAATGTCCGTATATATTTTTGATATTTTTAATTACTATATAAGAACTTATGAGGAATCTTAAATTAAATTTTCAATCTTTTGACTGAGAAAAAAATAATAATTACAAAAACCTAAAAAAGTAAAAATTTAAAACGTCTATAAATAGTCCAGTAAATGCTTGTATTAATATTCAAGAATTTTTTGGAAAATTTCAAGTAACCTTAAGGTTATTCATTTTTAAATAACAACAAAAAAACTTATGCGATTTCATCGATGTGTATAATCTTACCAGTTATCCATTATTTTTTTTTCAGTTTTTGGCGATAACTTAGAAAAGTGCATGTATTTTTATTTTTTATATCCTTTCCTCCCAGAAAAAAAGTATCATCTAGATCCATTTTTTTTTTAAATATTTCTCGAAGTTAAAAATGATTAACTACTTAGTACTCCTTAAAGTTACGCATAACACACAAAAAAACACATCATTTCCAATACATTCATTCCGCTCAGAAACTACAATACAAGTTTTAAATGAATAACTATAAACTTTCAAATTTTAAGTTTTGTACTTAACTCCTAAACAGGCAAAATAATATTTTGAATTTGAATTTGTGTATTTAATCCTTGATTAAATGATCACGAGTTTGTCAAATCTTATACAAGAATATAACTTTTGTTTACGGAACATCTTCCAGGGTAACTTCTGAGAAAAACCCAAGATGGCAAGATGTCTATTAAATAATACGGAAACATAATATTTAATATATAGGTATAAAATACAGAATATATATTAAACCTACACGATACTAATAGAAAAATGCTCTGTACTTCAAAACTAATAGATAGTGAAGTTCCTCGCTATTCATATATTTTAAAATCCATCTCAAAGACTTTAACGGGAGTATACAATATACTCGACTTTAGTCATGTATCGTAAGGCTAGGTAAAAATACCATTAAATCTCGTAGTGTCCTGGGCATGGTAATTTTCGACTGATATCGTACCCTTTCCTATTCGGCAGAAACAAAAAGTTTAGTATATTATACTTTATTTTAAACATATAGAAAATTGTAAAAAATATAGGTTCTATAAAGTGTATAATACATAAATGAATAATAATAATGTATATTTTTTGCCAATAATTATTAAATAAAATTTAGAAAATTATTAAAAATATCATAATACATATTAACATTCTTTCAAAACGATGAATATTAAACTTTTTGGTTGGCCGAAAAGTGAATCGGCCGAATTTGGAAGGGTACAAATGTTGGTTGCAAGAATCTTCTCTCCGTAAGTTTCCTCCACTAAATAAATAACTCTATTAACCTACTTTTCATTTTGTGCTGAATAAATGTATATATCCAATATAGATACTACCCGACTGTGGTGACTCCAAGTGACGTGATCATCATAAAGTCAAAAAAGCTTAAATTCACTGTTTTCGATCGAATTTGTACTACCAAATGAACTAGTAGAACTATTAAGCAGTACGCTGTCAGTCATTTTTCAAATACATGTCATGAATAGCCATGATACAGCTCAAGTGCCCAACCCTTTGAAAATTCATGATTACTGTTTTTGTTTACAAAAACCTCAGGTTATCTCGTTATTACCCTCATATTAATATTCACCTTAATAGTTAAATATATAAAATTATACTCATTTAAGATCGGGATCGCGGCCTACCATTGAAGCTGTTATACATCATGTCTTACAATTTTTGTATTTTGAAAACAAGAAATTAAGCTGGTAATATATATATAATTCAAATTCCACTATTTTTAATTTCGAATCCTGAAATATTTTTGATTTACAAAACGAAGGGATGTCCCTAAACATCTTTAAAAAAAGAACATATGTAGATTGTAAGTATAATAAAAAATATACAGTTAATGAATGGCCTGGTAAAGAATAGTTTGGATTCCTAAATATATTTTTACTACCAAACTTCCTAACCCAGTTATGCCACTGAAAACCACAAATGTAATATATTTAAACAATGCAAATTACCATATTCACGAGGTAATAAAATAAAAGCTTTGCTATAAAATTATTAACTATCGTGGAAAGTTAAGCAGCTAGAGACTAAATTGCTCTAAAATCTTGTTAGTTGTATGGAAATTGGTATTATCCCATCACTTATTACTATTTAGTGAATTGTAAGTATGATATAATTTTATAATTATATAAATTAGTTAATTATAACTTATAAGTAATTTATCATTAGATAATATATAGTAATATGTATGCTTGTATTTATATTGTATTATAATGTATTATCGATAATATTAAATTTATGTAAAAATTACTTTTAATTAATTTTTGAGCCTAAGTATTGAATATTTATAAAATAGGTTGAAGAGGCCATGACCCTCTGGTCATATTACTCTACCTGCATATTGTGTTGTCTCAGTCTGACTAACACATAACATAACAAATTGTACGTAATAAGGAAAATCTGTTTAAGATTATTTTTAACGTAAAATTTATTATGTATATGCGAGCATAACTTCCTCTTAACTATAAAATATTTTTATGATTTAGAAAATTTTGGAGAAAATTTGAAATTCAACATAAAAAAAGAGTGCTTATGTATTTTGATATTTTTAAGTAGGAATAGGAACCATTTATGAAAAACCTTATATTAGTTAAATTTAATTTGTTAAAATTAAATCGACATTAAAAAAAAAAAAATTTAAGTGTAAATATTTGGTAAAAAATTAAATCTTCCGTTGCACTGTTGCAATGTTACGTAAATATTCTAGTTGTCTCGCTGTTTTTTGTTAGTTTTTACCTATTGCTAAGAAACGATACTTAAAATGACACAAAAATACTTTGTTCACAAAGGTAAAGTACCAACTAGAACATATACCAGATCTACAAGAAACCATGTATATTGAAGTTAAAGGAAATGTTCTGCTTCAAAACGTGATGAATTCCGCCAACTAATCAGTATTCTATTTATAATTAACCAATTTTGACTTAAATCAATTTAAATTATTTTTTATCATTATTTTTATAGATATTGAAAATAATTTTTTTTTTTTTATTAAATAAAAGTGTATTTACAATCTATACATACAGTGTATAATAAGTAAGTGTGTAAGATATTGACAATAATAAATTTTTGTATTGAAATAGCATATAAGCATTAAGTATATCGCTTGTATAGTTGATAAATTGAATAACAAAAAATAATCGGATTATTTGGCCTTCGTCGTCAATAAACATATATTTTTTTCCAAAACAATCGTTTAATCATAAGTTATAAATATTCTTTAAACCACCTAATTTCCAAACAAATGTGGGGATACTTTTTTTTACCATTAACTCTGTAAAAATCACATAATCACGATTCACGAATTGTTAAAAATTCTCAATCTCGATTAAACGCATAAACTTTAAAACAAATATGTTAATACTTGGATTTTTAATTACTCATAAAACTTAATAATTAATAAATTATTGACCATACAATTATTAGTTACTATATGTATCGTATGTTCGTAATTTGTATCTAACTGAAAAATTGATGTTATTTTTAAATATAATACATATAATATAGTTAATAACTATATATACTTAAGTAATATAAATGAATACTATGGAATTGTTTTAATATGCCAACGAGTAGTCACACTTTAATATCGATAATTTTAAATAAAATTTTAAAAATTTCAGTCTTTAGAAAAATCTTCAGCGTATGTGATTTTAGCACTTAAGTAAATAACTATCCTGTGACTGTAGTTGGTTGTTATAAGTATTTACTAATTAGTAATTACCTATTTTTTTTACATATCGTCAAATAAATAGAATAATACTATACAACAGTTAGTATAATATGTATAATGTACATTGCAGTTATAAACAAAAAATACTGAATATTTTATTATATTTCAGCTATCTATAGTCCTAGTATTCTTATATATTTTTCCCAGTTTTGTTTAGCTTATAATTTTAGATAATTATAATATGTTCACTAAATACTTACAGTATTAATAAATTACTTTTTATTTTGAAAGGAGCATTACATATTTATATTTATGTATAATAACCACTGGCATATATCATTGTTGTTTTTTTTATATATTTTAAATTCTTATATTATGGTCTACTGCTGTTCAATATGTGATAGTTTCCAGACATATCTTTACCTTAATTTAAAATTCAAAACCGAATTATTCAAAAAGCCAAGGGACGTCCTTGTATTTAATACGAGTAATCTCCACGTGGCGGTGAAATCTTATCGGACTAAAACCCAACGGGGAGCCCAACATAACATTTACTACCTATAGTCTATAGTCTATACTACATACAACTATACGGATTGTTATGTGGACATCACTTGGAAATAAACCTGAACAAACAACTCAAGTAGATATATTATTTTTATTTTGCTTTATTATAGGTATTACCCCTTTAGACTTGAAAAAAAAATATTTATTTACATATGTATGTAGAAATATAATACCTCGATGAGACTGGACTTGCTAGATATTACACGGACGTTCTCCATGGATTATAATTACCCATCGTAACGAATAAATAATGCTGCGCACAAATATTCTGTAGCCACCATCGCTACCAATTATTTCTTTTTAGTTTTTATTATATTATATTGATGTTACACATTTTGTTTTTTCACTCCTATTTACCAACGTCTAACATATACCGTATATAATATCTATACAACTGTATAAGTATTAAAGTTTACCTATAACATATATATATATAAATTATCATTTTTGTAATAGTATACGAGTATACCTACTGGTCACCGGATACTGGTTCAAAATTCAAAGTATATATAATTGATAATCGTCTTATTTTACCAAGCTTAAATAAAAAAAAAAACAATAATAATATACTAATGATTCTTTTAAATGATTTTTAATTCAATTTAATGGTTTATTTTATTGATATTATAGTTTGAAATTATGTGTGGACAGTATATTATAAATAGACTAAAATTAGAAGTTATAATAAATAAAATTAACTCTTTTTTTTTCTATCCAGTAGAATATTTTATCCAACCATTATTTACCTATACCTACTGATAAACAATTATCTTAAGTGGTATTGGGTACTATCTCGTCTCGCTGCACAATATCTTAAAAGATCATGTGAATATTATAAGTTTTTATTTTAATGTGACAATTATCATACAGGACAAAGAGCTCAGTTTACCCAATAATGGTGACTTTTAATAGCTTGCATGTCGTACATGTATTTTAACTATTTTAACTTTGTACAATAAATACGTAGTTTCTAAATTGTATGTTTTTCAGTAAGTCGAATTCGAGTAAAGAATTTCGAAATGTATTGAAAGCCGGGTAATAGGTAGACACATAATTATGTACACAATTAATTGTGCACTACAACTTAAAGATCAATCCTAAAATTATTAATTGTATGAGAATTATTTTTAAAAATGTATGTTTAGTTACTATAGACGGTAGGTATAATATATTATTATTCATTTTAATAATTATTATTTATTAATATGTACGTCAAATTTACGTAAATAATCGAAACCTCAAGCTATAATAAATATCAAAAATGTATTGATATTCTCAAGTCTAAAGTACCCATGTTTGATCGAATTTTTGTATCTAACTTTTGAAGCACTTTTTCGTTGACGAATTCTGATCTTAATAATTTTTATCTACCGTAAATAATTGTAAATTACGAGACAAGTAAATTTAAAAAAAAGCCAAACTTGGGTCATTTTGAGTAGGGTCATATGGTACACTGATGTCAGAAATCTGAGTACAAATCATACAAAATTGTAAGATATGGGAATTCGGGCATACAAAACTTTCAATGGTTTACCCTCCAATTTGAGCCTCTCAACCGAACACCATGATGCTCTGAACATATCCTCCTTGAAACGATTTTTAATTTTTATTAACATTTAAGTCAAATTTTAATAGTTTAATGTACAAAAGCAATTAGGTTACTGAATAAATGAAAAATAAAATAAAAAACTATATTGAGGATAGACCTGGACAACCTGGGTATTCGCTATTGCTAACTGCGATCGCTCAGATAATTTTAATAGAAAAATACCGATGATTTTTTACGGAATCCCTGGTAAATTAAAATATAGTCAATTGTAAGTTGGAAAGGAGGGAAAATATTATCCTGGTTAGAATAATTGCCTTGTTTCTATTATGTATAACGCGGGTAATACACGGGAGAAAATCAAGGGGAGAAATTTATTGTCCGTCACCAAAAAATCAAAACATGTTGTTGTAAAGTAAATATTTAATGGTACCTAAGTATCTAAAATATTTTAATTTTCAAAGTATATAACTTACCTCTTAAAAATAATAATTCCTACGAAGTCACTTAATTACGCCCTAGATTAGAGAGAGCAACGCGAAATATAAGATTATTAGGACAATTGTATCTCCACTATCATCCCCATTGTCAATTGATAATTTTGAATAATTAAAAAAGTGTAAATAATAGGTGATTATATCTACAATATAATAACTTTATTTTGATATGCACGTTTGCGATTAATGGGTCTATAATAATTTATAATATTAAATAAGTGATATATAACAAAAAATTACCAATTATTAAATAACATTATAATATTGGTATTTGGTAACACTAACACACTAACATAATAAAATCATAAATAAAAACCTTACTTATAACACAAATATATGTTAACTGATATAATGATATTAATATATACATATATGTGCATATAAATATATATTATTATATTAATACCTATATTAAAGTGCGCAGTAGGTAAGTAAAGCAACTCGGCACGATAACATTTTATGAATTTATATTTTATACGAACTAATTTGGTTAATATATATTAATGGAATTTATTGAATAACGTATTAAACTGCATAATATAGATTCGCAATTAATTTAACGTAAAAGTTAATATTTTCATAACATGTAGGAACTGTGTATTCTGATATGTACCTGATATGTTTGGAGTACATCATTGCAGTTTTCATCATTATCACTACATAAAAACGAACATCACACGAACACACGAAATAATTATTTATTCTATACGCATGAGTAAATAATATTTGATTATAAATTCGCACTAAAATGTGTAAAACACAATGTACTTCAAAACGGACGACGAACTACTAAAATCACTTCGTGGAATGAACGGTGAAACTGTTGCTACCTAGCAAGCGACCAGCTCAACAAAATGGAACAGGTATACGACTATGGCATCTGACGACTGCCATTGCAGTCTGCAGACTCCTGTAGTCCTGTTGTTAGGAAACAAGAAGGAGAGGGCCAACGAACGTTACAGTGCTGCCATATAGTATCAAACGATAATGACGGATACCTTGATTTTTAATGTACCTATTTCTGAATATTCTCAACATTACTATCGGAATTATAATGTCAAATAATTTATTATTATATCAGTTTTATTTAATTGGGGGAAAAATGTCTGTATTTCTAGGACAAATAATAATAATGTGTTATCAATATTCGAGAAATATTGTTAAGTATCTGTCAACAAATTTTTGGTTATGAAAGCTCTAAATAGACAAATATTGTATAATAATCGTACATAGTATATAGCATACAAACTACAAAGTATGTATTTATAATATGGGTTGTAGTTGCACAATGTCAGAACGGGAAAGGCCAGGCAGCATACGATTTAAAGGGTTCAAAGCTTTATAAATTATTAATTTATACTAAGTACTAACCCGTTAATCTGCTACTGCAGGCTCAAGTAGTAGGTATGGGTACCTAATAATGTTATTGAAATGCCTTCTATTAGATACTGAATCGTCTAAACTATGCATATACTATTTAAATAAATCCATAAAGAAAAGCTTCCAGTATGGAAAGTCAGTCACGTGGATAAGTTTCTAATATATAGAATACAAATATAAATATAAAGTTGCAAATTCTGACGATCATGAATTATTAAAATAAATTAATATCCATGACTTCACGTTCACAATCTTTTGTAGTTCACGCATATTATAGCTAGTGTCTAGTAAAGCAATGCATAGGTATACTTAGTTATTGTCTATTGTAACTCGATTAATTTTAAATATCCTGCATTTCTAGTAAGATGAAGACTGCGAAGTACATTTTGTTACATGTGTCAGAGATTCAGAGCAGCATGGAGGCATGGAGCATCAATCACTTTCTATACATTAGCTAATATTAGACATCTTAATCACATACAAATAAATTCCTCGCAGTTACCTTGGTTTTCAACTAAATGTCAATCACTCATTTCATGATTAAAGTCTAGTCACTTAGAGATTTCTAGTGAAACAATAGATCCGAGTTTTTATATACGAAGTTATCCATTAGTCTAGTTGCTCACGCAATTTCCTATTGAATTAGACTATAATAGATACGTGATTATAATTCATTTAATTTTAACATCGATATTTTTGTTGGTAATTCGGTTATTTATCTTAGTTTATACCTTAATAATTTAACCATTTAACATTATATTGTACTTCCTCAACAACCATTATATGCATATATATTTGTATGTTTAACATAATTTACCATTGTAATTGCCAATTAGAGCTCGTTTAATTAATAATAAATAAAGTCTACGTTACTTCATGTTTTTATTTTTTTCTTATTTGTTAATTATAATAACTTTTATTGTTATCTCTTATCTCATAACTACTATATAGTACAAAATTATTTGGTATCACGAAGTATACCTATGCTTTCTACTGACAATTTAGATATGTAGACATGTAGTATGCCTTGGTCTACCTTGAAACTTCTCTACCTCAATTGTTAAGTTTTTTAAGTCAAATATATTAAATGTTCGACGTTAATATTAAAATTACGAAATCTAAAACAATAAGTTTTTATTAGCTTAAAATATAACTTATAAAACATAAATCAAATAAAAAATGATTTAAAAAAGGCATGTTCCTCAAAAATTAGTCAAATACTAAATTGAAGCCTCTCCGCCATAATTCAATAGCATTAAGGAATAACTAATAAGGATCGACAAAAAAACTCACTGTGATTTACCTCTAGCCCTTATTATGACTTGTTCACCCGATAGAATGGACACCTAATGAGCCATGTACCCATGTTGCACTTTATGTTCAATTATTGATTACCTAGTATCAAGCTTTAATTTTTTCTTTATATCATTCCCCTTACACTTAATCTAAAAACCAATGATCTTAAAGCCCTAAATTTTTTTTCCTTGGAAGGCATCCATGGTGACTGTGTATACATTTAGTGAAACAAGTCTGTAAAAATTTGACTTTGTTTTAAAAAAAATGTTATACTCAAAAAACCAAGTAAAACTTACTAAGAATAAAAGCATGCAGACACATATTATTATTTTATTTTAGTCCTTTAAAAGTTTAAAACATATAAAAGTTACTTGGTGTATTTTAATATATTGTCCACGATATAGAATCAAAATATCTGAAATATTAATAAAAAAACACTTATGAGTCATGAGTGCATATATGATATTACATAATTATATATGTGTCGTATAAAAAAATATTTTTTACTACATTCAAACTAGTATTACATATATTTTTTAGGGATGCTTTCACTTGATGAATTGACAATAATTATTATTTTTCATAGACTCATAAATCATAGTTAGTACTTGATTGGATGTTTTTGTTTTTTTTTTGTGTGGCACACGAATTAATGAAAATAGGAGAAAATAGGTAAAATCGCATTGCTGTATAGAAGGCATCGATTGGTATAAAATATAACCTATAAATAGGCATTAGGCAATACAATAGCTTGAAATTCGGTATTATCCAAATGTTTGAAATCGTAATTTTGCTGAATATTAAGGAATATATTATATAATTCACGTAGGTACAAGTTTCAAGTCCTCACGAATACTTTTTTTAAATTACAATATAATATTTAACATTTTTATTATTCGTTTAAATATCTAATGACGTCCAAATTTGCCGCGAAATATCTACAGAAAAAATTTCTGAAATCTATAAATTATTCTAAGCATTAGATTCTAATTTTTATAATAAACATGCATTTTGTCTAAAACAAATTTATACATCACACAATTATAGGTGTCATGAAGACTTGTACAATTTTAGTCATTTTTGCCATTTTAGTCTTCATGCATTATACAATAATGTAAGTAAAATAGGTAATAATACCGTATAGGTAGTCATCAGAAAAAATTAAATATACTCACATAGGTATCTACTACCTACCGTCTACTTTTATTTTTTTTAAACTAGGTATACAATATACAATATACATGTACAATCTGAGACCTAGGGCACAATATGAAATAAAAATAATATGATAGGTACATATTTATAGCATTAAGTCTATTCTGTGATGATATCACATAACTACGTCCTATAATTACATACACATAAAAAACAATTGATAATTGATAACACTATCCTACTAACAGCAGTAAGTAAAGTTAGCCTACTCAATTTCAACCGGCGAATGACGATCCGATCCTCCCCACTACATCTAACCTTAAATATGGTGAAAGGCCTTTATATCTTTGTTGCCAATTTATGAATTAAAAAAATTACATTTTCGTTTTAAATTCCGTTTATTATGGTCTAATAAAATTTATCTAATTGTTTGTTATGATACTAAGTACATTGTAATTAATTCGTCGATTCTATTCTGTGCATAATGTTACCTAACGACCAGGTAAATTAAATATATTTGTATCATGCAAAATGTATATAATATATAAATATATTTTCATATATTTATAGTATTATTTAACTCAATTAGCACCTATAGTTCGTTTTATACTAACACATTTTATACACTTATTATAATTTAAATGTACATTTATGTATTCAATTTTATTGTATAACAGGGCAACTGCAGTCCTGCAATTAATAAAAAACCAACCGACGGTGATAATAACGCCTTAGAAAATGGTCATCAATCAATAACTAACCCTGGAGCTAAAAAGACATGGTCTGAAATTCGACAAACAGTGTGTGACTTTCGACATCGTCTTTCCACTATATCAGTGATGTCCATCTCGCATGTGTCATTTAGACGGTTACAAAATGGACGAACACGGGTTTATTTTCTTAGTGCTCCTGTAAATGAATTTGAAACTCTTCTCTATGTTGATTTACCTAATCAAAGTGTTTCTGGTCAATTACCGTGGCAACCTTTGATTGAATCCAATTTCCCAAGTGTAATTATGAGCGGTCGATATTCACGAGAAGAACAACTATTATCTGAAAGAAAAAGATTAACGACATTTGGAATTACCTCCTATGAAATCAATAGTGAATCTGGTAGAATTGTTTTCCCTGCTGCAAGTACATTATTTCAATGTAATGATAATGAATACTCAGTAAGCAATTCCATAAATTTATTTCAATTGTTGTTTTATATTCAATTTTATTTGATAGACAAATTCATTATATCCAACTGAATTGAGAACATGTGCTGCTGGAGCTAAGCTCTCACCTCAAATCTGCCCGAATAATATTGATATTGTTGCATATGTTTGTAACTTTGATATTTGGGTAACTCATATAGCTACAGGTAAATTAATTAGGTATGTTTGTTAAGATTTTAAATTTGTTTAAACAAATTTGTTTTTAGGTAGTACCAAAAGATTGACATATGCTCATAAAGGTGGACGGTGTTTATCAGATGATCCATTAGCAGCAGGAGTACCTTCCTATGTAATGCAAGAAGAATTTAATCGTTATCATGGTTATTGGTGGCAACCAAAACAACATAAAGGTACATCTCAATGAAAATACCTATTTATTTTCTTTATAATGTAGGCAACACAATTGAATGTTTAAAAGTAAATTATTTTTATTTTTTTTTGATTTTCATCTGCTTGGTTTTAATGATTATTACTAAACATAGCTTGAATATAAAATTTGAAAAGGTTTTCTTTTTAATAACTCCATTGTCTCAAATAATGTTCAGTATCACATTTCAATTTCATTAAAATTTTACAAAACATAAATCATTTGTAAGAAATGTTTTTTTTGTACTTAATTTGTACCTAATAAAAACAGTACACTAACTATCTATTTCATTAATTTGTTAAATGTTTTTTTATTTCAAAATAATAACGGGCTCTACTGAACATACATGCTCAGTTTGTAACTGTAGGTAAAATATAGATTAATAAATTATAACATACTTTTTGAGACTTTAATGTTCTTGATTTCTATACATAATTTAACTTATGATATTTGGCAAATACTCTATTAAGTAATATTACGT